AAGATTCACAAGGCTTCTTCTTGATGAACATGTTTGATTGGCAAGCATTATCTTCAAAGTGACTCTTCATCTGTGACTAATCAAAATACTTGATGACTTACTAAGGATTGATTAAGAGATGATTATTCAAACTTCATCCTGGTGAAACCCTCTCACTACCAGGGATTAGATTGTGAATGAAACACTTGGACTAGTCATCACCATTTAACTGTGACTGGGTTAAAGTTTCTTTTGTGTACCAATGTCTTGGATAGAGTACTTACCCGTTGGTTGTGTGATAGTTGTCGCATTAGTAGTCACTTTCTTAGCAAGCCTTCTTCACTACGTGTGGCATGGACTTATTCTTGCACTCTACCCATTGTTGCCAGGCATAACTATGGTAAATATTTGTTTTTGTATGGTTTTCTATTTTGAAACTGTTTAAAAAAAAAGTAACACAAAGCGTTAATGTTAATTTGCAACAAGAAAGCTCAGCAAGTCATGGAAATTCCATGGTTTGTCAGTTGCATACATGTATACTGTAATTCAATTATTTTGCAGCATGAAATTTTCTGACCAAATCAGCAAAGTTCCATACTTCCATACAAATATTCTGATTTTAATTAGAGTACCTGTACATGTACATGTGTGTATGCTCTGCCCTAGGCTTCTAATATTCTGTGTGCATTCCTTGAAAGGTCTAAATTAAAAGTGTTCTATACAAATATTAATTATATGGTCGTTTTTTTTTAAGATCATAGATTTTGTTTTCTTTCTTCAAATCTTCTCAATATAGCTATATAAGCTCACATCACGGCATGGTATGAATGAAAGTTTGTTGACTTATTGTCTAACCATCGGCTGTCTTCATTAACCTTGATTGAGGGTTAAGCATTCCATGTTTGGATTGAGTGATTTCTCACGAACTCATGACCATTGTTCTGTATGAATGGATGACTAAATAGTCATGTGACTGAACAATTAAATCTGTGCAATTCATTATCAACAGGACTGTTTTGATCGACCTTGACTGACTTTGTAAACAAAGTAATCAGCAAAGTTAATGACAGAAGATTTAAAGGTAAAGACCAGTATTGGAAATGCCCCAATTTCAAAAAATGAAATGGAAGCTCTCATTACCAATCATGTGAAAGAAAATGTTTTGACTAATACATGATGATAAAAAATTTGCCAGGAAACTGCCTACTAATTCATATATTTGGTAAATTTGTTTCTCTCATGGTCTGTGAGAGATATAGGGTAGTCCCAAATACATCTTTCTGTGTAAAGTGCTTGTAACTTTACGAAGAATGGGCCAAATTTCTTATCATTTTGATGATTCCACAACCTTGCAAATGCTAGATGCTAGATGATCAACCTTTTCTGATCGATTCCACGTTTCTTTCACAATGCAATCGCATGACCATAACTGGTCTTTACCTTTAAGGAAAAAACTTTTTTTTTTTTTTTTTTTTTTCTTTTTCTAATTCCAAACGATGGTCATATTGATCCTAAAGTATAAATGGCTTCATGGATCACATATTCTTGTATGTTGATGTTTAGTTGCTGTAGAATTTAACAGCATATCGTCGGTGGGGTGACAAAACCTCGTATCTCAATTTTTTTAGATTTTGATTTTTTTGCATAATTGTGTACCTAATGGCCTACGACACCACCTGATAAATCCATGGAACGCCTCCTGTCTCGGTTTTTTTCACAAATTCCACAAAAAGGAGGGTGTTACAGCACTAAATCTGTTGAAACAGGAAATGTTTTTCGCTCTCCTGAAAATTCATGATTTTTGAGATACAAGGTTTTGTCACCCCACCGACGATATGTGTAGTCCCATATTAGTTTTGCCTGCCAGTTTTTGATTGAACTTTTGTTGACTGATCATTAAGTGTTTGGAACTTTAAGATGCAACCTTTCATGATCTTACATTCCATTCCAGTCAGTGGCGTAGCCAGAGGTGGGGGGGGGGGGGGGTTCAGTCAGAGGTGGGGGTGTTCAGCCACTGCCCAATAATTGTGTAGTGTTCACATGTAATGTATCTTTGCTGTTAAAGTGAGATCATGGAGCTCTTTTTTAATTGTTTGTAGCCCATTTATTTTCTCTTGCGCATGCTGCAGCTCCCAACATGAATTATCTATCTTGTCATCCCATTACTCTTCTGATGATAACTGCATTGATCCTACCAAGATAAACCCTCCCTATCTCCTTTCCCCATCACATGTGACGTACATTCCATGAGTTGAACGACCATCTTCTTGTCTAGAGGCCTCTATAGGCTACATGGATAATGTGCTTTCACATTAGCCGGATTCACATTGCAGTTATACCTTGTACATGGATAATGTGCTTTCACATTACCTAGCTGCATTCACATTGCAGTTATACCTAGTACATGTACATGGATAATGTGCTTTTACATTACCTAGCTGCATTCACATTGCAGTTATACCTTGTACATGGATAATGTGCTTTCACATTACCTAGCCGCATTCACATTGCAGTTATACCTTGTACATGGATAATGTACTTTTACATTACCTAGCCGCATTCACATTGCAGTTATACCTTGTACATGGATAATGTGCTTTCACATTACCTAGCCGCATTCACATTGCAGTTATACCTTGTACATGGATAATGTGCTTTCACATTACCTAGCCGCATTCACATTGCAGTTATACCTTGTACATGGATAATGTGCTTTTACAATACCTAGCTGCATTCACGTTGCAGTTATACCTTGTCCATGAACATATGGTTGTCATCTAGACTATGAGGTCCCACAACCTAAGTTCTAAAGTTTCAGAAGTTTTTAAGTTCTTGAGAACGAAGTTGATGAACGTAATCTTGAGAGCTGAGATCAAGAAGTTCCAGGAGTTAGGCTTTAGAAAACTATAAGATCAAGAAAAGTTTGTTCCAGAATATACATTGTAAGTTCAACAAGTCTACATGTAAGCTTTAGAAGTAAATTTGTTGAGGACTAAGTTTAAGAAAACTGAGTTGTCAACATTTTTGGTTTTAAAGGCACAAGATCAAGACACAGACAAGTCATTGCATTTGAGATGTGGGCCTTGAATAAAGATTACATGTATTTCTTGACTATACCATGATTTTACACATTTTGCACAGATCAACAATTAAATACAATGGTTGGAATTCTGCTAAATGCTAATTCATGTTTAAGAAAAGAAGACTTAATTAGACCTCAATCTAACTTCCTTGTAGAATACATGTACGTATCAATTTAATTCCTTGAATTTGAGGATCCGGATGACAATTTCTGTGGTATTCTTTTTAAAGTATCGGTTACAATTGTGTGAGAAAGAATTGGCAGCAAAGTCTAAAAATTTTCATTACCCAGTCAGGAGAATTATAAAATGAATCAATAAATGAAGCTTTTCTTTTGATAGACCACAAACTACAGGTTCAGAAAAAACCTTTAAACTGTGTCTGTAGATACTTGAAGATATCATTTAACAATTCTGTTGACTTGAGATTCAAAGTATTTCCTTTCGCCTTGAATATAGTTTCAATGTGATTTAACAAAATAATTGAAAATGCATTCTCTTACATGTACTTCCTTATCGATATTCTTTTCAGGAATGATGTTAACCATATTAAATAAAGGTTTGGCCTGTAAGAGTATCTCATTATTGTGTAAGTTAGACAGAAAATGAACATTGGAAATATATTCACTTTTGATTGATTGACTTGCTTGTACATACTGCTTAAACAATTCAAACCATTAAATTAATTTGCATTGTGTACAGTTGCAAGCAAAAAAACCTTTTGGGATGTTTCCTCTATTGAAATCATGGGGCAAAATGGTAGCTAATAAACATTCCTGGCATTAAAAACTAATGGAGTATTTAATTGACCAAGAACATCACAACATAATGAAAATATTTCTGCAAACTATTTTGGCTACAAACTATTTTTTTCTTCCTGCAGAAAGGGTTTTTCAGATGATTTTATTAAAATATTTTCTCTTGGGTGAAGTTTCAACAGCTGAGGTAATTTTCTGTCAATATCTCAACCTTTATCTCAAGTGATGGTAGTCTATTACTCAGTAAATTGTTCTTTTAATCAAGTCTTTGCTCAGTAGAGCCCTGGTAAAGGGACTTTTGTCATTGATTGAATGGTGGTAGTGAGAAGTCAAACTGCTAATTGTTACGAAAACAGACAGGATATCAGCATCAATTAATTAGGGCCTTTTAGGGTGAGCAAGTACTTTAAATACTTGTCAAGATATAGACAATGAATCCCCTGACTTCAAGATAGGTTCATGCACGGTGTAAGAGTTTGCAAACACTTGTTAGCAAAGGGCGTTAGTCCTTTCCCTTCCCGTTTGTGGTAATTAATACATTCCTTTGCACTCAGAATTCAGCTGATGGCTGCAACATAGTGGATCCATTTAGCATTTTCACAATATTGTTAATGCTTTAATTAAAGACTAGCTTAATATTGATGACTTTATATTTCTCATCAACAGATTCTAGTAGAGATGTGTGGTTATTGGGGTTCTTAATAAAGAGATGCATGCTAATTGCCTCAATTTTTGTATGTAGCTATGCATTTAAATTTGCCTGTATTTACAAACAGAGGGTGCAATAATATCCATGTTACTTGAATAGGATCTTACATGTAATAGTCCGTTTCCTGACCAATATCTTTTCTATGTTACAGGACTGTGAACATCAAGATCCTTTGACCACGTACAAGGGTCAAGAGATATAGACCTCAATGGTGAAATTGTTCACTTCTAAACAGACATGAATGACATATCCATGTTACTTAAATAGGATCTTAATCGTCTATTTTCTGACCAATATCTGTTTTCTCTAGGACTCTGAACATTAAGATCCTTTGTCCACCTACAAGGGTCAAGAGATATAAACCTCAATGGTGAAATTGTTCACTTCTAAACAGACATGAATGACATATCCATGTTACTTGAATAGGATCTTAATTGTCTATTTCCTGACTGCTATCTTTTCTCTCTCTGACAGGACTCTGACCATCAGGATCCTTTGTCCACCTGGAAGGGCCCGAGGAAGGTGACCCTACAACGAAGGTCCAATGGCTTTGGGTTCACTTTACGTCACTTCATCGTCTATCCACCTGAGTCTGCAGTGGCCGAGCTGAACAGACTACAGGAGACTGGTGGAGGTAAGGATAGTAACTTCTCATTCAGTAATATCTTTAAAAAACAACAACACAAACCATAAACTAAGTATAAAGCTTAAATAATTTATTATGTTTTTTTTATAAATAAATAAATAAATAAATAAATAAATAATATAGACATTAATAACACACAACATATCCACCCAGAGGGTGCTCAAGGTGCTTTAATGAGCTATATAATATACTTAGATACAAAACTGACCATTGATTAATGTTCCTTTGAGGCATCATTAGTGATGACCACATGAATGATTTATTCAGTCTTTTTGGAGGTGAAGTAGTGTGATTTTCATCCATAAAATTAATGATCTGTCTTTATCGAACTACAGTAAAAATGAAATTCAACTTTTATGCTCTATGGAGGTTATTGAAAGGGTTGATACAGATTTATACCAAATAAAGTGTTTCAGATGACTCTAAGAAATATGCTGCATACTTCCTATTTATTAAATGTATATATGTACATGAATATATATATTTACTTTTTTATAGATAAAAATGACCATCGATTATTGTTCATTTGTGGTAACGTTTTGCAATGGCCACAGAAATTGTTAATTTTCATCTGTTATGTGTTGAGTCGGGTGACTATAGATGTCCCGATGGCCCATACAACATGGACTCTTCTAATGAATAAAGTTCAACACCAGAATAGTATCCTTCAAATTTAAGTTGTTGTCCTTGATTCATAATAATGTTATTTTAGATGGACCCAAGTCAAAGAGTCGGATCTCTGCCCTTGAGCCGATGGATACCATCTTTGTAAAGCAGGTTAAATCGGATGGTCCTGCTCACCAGGCTGGCCTAGCTAATGGAGACCGTATAGTGTCTGTGAATGGAGAGAGTGTTACAGGCAAGACGTACCAACAGGTGGTCAATCTTATACAGCTATGGTAAGTAACAAGTGAAACGTAACTGAAACTGAAAGAGCCAGATATGAATCATGCATGATCTGAATCTCAGTAATTAGTTGGAATTTTTCTCACCCTCGAAACAGAAGTGAGATTCTGATTCTGATCATTGTTCATAAATCTATTTTTAAATCTCTCTGATTGTTTTATGTGGGAATGGCCCTATTAACTTCAATCTCACAATAACCTCTAGCATATAAAGATCAGTCCAAGGAAACCAGGAAAATGGTGTTTTATAAACAGATGGTCTTTATTAGATAATCCATACCTTTCTTTACGATTGTGAAGTACGACCTGACCAAGTGTCAGTTTAAATGAAAGCAGATAAAATTGAAAAATAAGTGAAAGTTTGAGGGTCCATGGTTTGAGCAGGTAATATGATGAAGCATAAAGGCTTGTTCAGATATGGCACAGTAAAGGGCTGCAAAAAAAAAAGCACCTGCTGCATTTATTAAACATATTAAATGAATGGCAAAAGCACGCAACAGACGACTTGCACGTATTCACTGAGCTCTATGTTATAAGATTCAGAAGCTATTGAGATAATGATAATATTTTGAAGATAATGCAATCACTACACTTTACGTCATCATAAATACAAATTTTAAAAAGCAGCGGTTTTGCCTCATCAAATCTGAACTAGCCTTAAGAAACCTAATGTGGGAGCAACTCTCTTCCAATATTGGCTTGTGTCTCCTGTTGTAATTTGTTTGAATGTTTGCTTGCACCCCAAAGTAAGCTTGCTACGCTACATACTGTAGGTCTCTGAGCCAAGTATAACTTTGCAAGATTGGCAGTGAACAAGCTTTTTGATTTACGAATCTATAAACCTAGCTGCCGAGTGTTCTGTTGAAGTGCTGCTCACTAACCCAGCTCCAGGCCAGGGCATGAAACCTATAAACAGTGTGACAATAACATTTTTAAAATCGACAAGTGAAAAACAAAATGCACTTGATATCCATTTGACATTCAAATGTAAAGTCATCAGTGTTACCACAGAGAACAGTTTTCTGTTTTCTGCAATAAGTGGAAAAAATCATGTGATAGGAGAGAAATGTGTCATTTTGAACGTAAGATTAGCTGGAAAAGAAAATGGGAGGATTCGTAGAGGTGTACAGATATTTAATAGAAATGCTTTGTATTGAAAGCATAACCACACCATCAGTCATAGTGCGTACCGGATTGAAGCCAAGTTTATAGGAAGCTGGAAGCTATTGAGTATTGGCATTGAGCAAGGCATTGAGGGAGGCATTGAGGAGAGGAACTGTGGTTTCATTTTCATAATTGATGAGAATTGATCGTGGGTGGTAAAAAAAAAAGAGATTAAAAACATGAAATAATGGCACGCACAACCAGGAGTGCCAACCAGAAAAGCAATTTAAAAAAAGCTAATGGATATAATTTGAAAGTACATGTATTTGATGTGTGATTGTTAAATGAACATAATAATCTCCTGAAGTCAAGTCATATTCACACAAGTCACAAATAACATTAATTTTGGATTTGAATTATGATAAAAAGAAGATATTCCCTTTTCAATCAGTGCATTCTTCATAAGAGACTTAGATGAAGTCTGATAAATGGTAATATAAATCAAATTATGTGTATGATGATAATAAATGCTAACTGCTTCTAAATCTAAATCCAAATCGACAAATCAAATAGATTTAAATCAATTTTTTTTGTGGAAAATATTTAAAAAATCAGATTTTTGTTTTTGTTTGCCAACACAGCAACAAAATGAGAAATCCTAAAAAGCATTTTATAAATGAATGTCCATGTACAGTATGAGCCATCATATCAAATTATCAATGCAAACATGAAATATAAAATGGATCCTTTATCAATATGGTGTATACATGAAGGTATTATAACATTCAAGAAATAAATGTTTGATCTCTTCATATGCACATTCAAGTTGGTGTCATGTTTCAAATGTGTATCTGCTGCTCATCATCAAATGTTATTGTAGTTGTATTTTCTGAGTATATTTTGTCTAATATTCTGATTTTGTCTGTCCTATTCTTATTTGCTGTTGACAGTAAATACAGGTAACTATAGTATTCTATATGGTCCTTGTTTAGTTATATGGTATATTGTGCTGTGCTGTATGGTATCCTAATATTCAGTATTTACAATATACCCATATTTATTCAATATTCCTCAACAAAATACACTACAGTAAACACAGATCAGACGGGTGAACTAAAGTAAGACCAAATAATCTCACTCTCCCTTTCAAATCATTTGTTTGTTCGGTTTGGTCTGGGCTTTTGTTCTCATCTGGGACATTATACATGTATATAATATGAATCATGGCTACTGTACATACTTGAGCCAAACTGTGTAAGACAATCAATGAACCAGTCTTCTCTTTCTAGATGCATATAGGTTGGGAGCAGTTGGATTTCAGCACGACTTGTGCTCAATTACTATCTAGTATTTAGAGGGGTGGAGCTAGGTGTACTGTAGAAACAGAAACTTTCACAAATTGTATTAGAGATTGAGATTCCTGAATGTGTTATTCTACATGTATGACATTCCATAACAGGATTGAATCACACAAAGATGAAGCACTTGAAAGTTACTAGCCATACAAATAATCTTCACTTACAAATAAAAGTATTTTTGAAATAATTTAATTTGCCAAAAGTAATTTCTATTGTATTTTATTGACACATGAAACAGAGCAGGTGTTTCCCCCCTCACCCTCCCTCTCCCTTCTCCTTCTGTCTCTCCTCACCTTCTCAATTATTTGTAAGTTTTGAGAACATTATGTGAACTTGTATTATTTTTATCTCCCTCATATACCTCATACTGCATGCATGCAAGTGGGAAAGTAGTGGTGATTATGCAAAGGGGGTAGACTACTTTAATACACAAGATTTAGTTGAAATTGTATTATTTGGGGTAGATGAGGAATGGTTTATTCTGCTTGGAAGCCTGGCTAATATAATGATTTCATGTTCATCTCAAATGAGACAAGTATTCAAATAGTATGAAATCCGGACTGTCGATCCCGAGGTTCAAGGTTTGAGATCCACCACATCACTAATGTCCTTTGGCAAAACATTGATCTACATTTGCCACACTCAACCCAGGTGATATAAATGGGTACCTGGCAGGAATTAATTCCTTGAAATGCTAGAGCGCCGTAATGGCAGCCCTGCTAAAGTCAAGGTAATAATCGGGAGCGCCAGGAGTGTCAAGTCTGACAGACATGAGCGCTATATACAAGAACCCAATATTGTATTCAGTCAATAAATTATTGTTCACCCCAGTCATATAGATCATCCCTCCTATAATAGCCAAGCAAGTATAAAACTCTAGTTGACTTAGTTTTGGCATGCAGAAATTCATATTTATGGTGGATTTTAATGAACTGGAAAATTAATCAGGTCAAATGCTGATTGAGTATGCACACTAAATGAGGTAGAACACATTCCTATTTTTTTCTATATTGATCTATATATTCTCTTTTAATCAAGTAGGGTTTTCTGGTTACTTAGGCAATGGGTATTGCATTTGTTATTTCTGTTATTTAATACTGCCATACAGACATGGGGCCTGCAGCTGCGATATTTGTCTTCTCATGTCATTTATTCCTATCATTATTTTTATCATTATCATTATTATTCCTAATGATTTTCATTACCATTTATACTCATCATCATAATCAGCATAATCATTATCAACATCACTCATCATATTAATCATTGTCATCACAATTATCAATGTAAAAGTTATAATGGATGTTATCATCATTACATTTGTTGTTATTCTCTCTGTCCCTCTGTCTCTCTATGTCTCTCCGTCTCTCTGTCTGTCTCTGTCTTTCTCTCTACTCTGATCTTATTCATTGTCTAGTGACCATGTTTCTGTGCAGACCATGTACATGTATGTTGATGTTTTTGTAAATCCCTCTTTACTCTGCATCAGCCTAATTTGCATGAAAAACAGTGAATAGGAAATAATATGAAATTATCATTACAGAAACAATGAAAAGGAAATAATATGAAATTATCACTACAGAAACAGGACTCTGTTTTCAATGTGTAAACTGTTTGTTTTCCTTCAGAGTAAGTCTTGTTTTTGTAATACATTGTGTTGTCTGTCTGTCTATACATTGTACATCAACCAGTTCTGTCGCAATCATCTCCAAATATATATCGTCCTTGTTTTCACGAAGTGACGGTAGTGAGGAGAATCGTCACGCAAAGTGAATGCAATTTTTTTTCACTACCGTCACTTTGTGAAAACAGCGACGATGTATATATTTTTTTTTTCGGGGGGGGGGGGAGGGGTTATAGAACTCAATGTTCTGTACTTTTCATTTTCTATATAAAGGCATTTTAATCCCTCAAAATGTTGTACAGTACAGCATAAACAAGTATTTTTTCCAGCATAAAACGTTGCATTATTATATAGTTTATATACACTTACATTTTCCAGTTTTTGGTAATATACTGATCTTTAATTTTTTTTTTCTTTTTCTTCTTGTGTGCAATCTATTCTATAATAATACATGTATAAACCTGTATAAAAAAAAGACAAGAATATAAACTGTTTTTCTATGTAAAATGTGGAATAAATCAAACTTCAAACTTCAAACTTCAACCAAATGATAAGTTAAGCCATATATATATATCCTAATTTGGGCAGTGGAGTTGAATAATCCACCAGTGTGCAATTGGTATTTATTCATTTATTATTATATTTATCTCAATCTTTATTACCATGGTACATACTGGGTCAGAACTATACTTTCTAACATCTTTTTAACAACAAGTATGTACCCTGCATATTTCTGTTCGGTCCTTCTTAAAGCACGGGCAGAGTATAACAAGGGTTTGATAGACACATAATGCCCCTTAAAATTCAGAATCTCCCAAAAATTTCAGCAATTATTTATTTTTAATAGATGAAGGTGGGTCTCTCGTCTAAAGGTGCTTATGAAACTCTCTTTAAATGATCTCCTCAATGTGTAAAACCCTGTATCTTTCACACTATTAGATTAGGGTGAAAGTATGACATAGTTATGACTTTTCTCTCAAATAATATTTTTGTTGAATCTGCCCAAACTTGTTCCTTCATATGTCCTTTGCCTGGACTTGTTTTGTTATGTTTCACACTACTAGATTAGGGGTGAGAGTATGACATAGTTATGATCTTTCTCTCAAATAATATTTTTGTTGAATCTGCCCAAACTTGTTCCTTCATTTGCCCATTGTCTGGACTTGTTCTGATTGTTATGTTTTGTTCTTCCTTTGTTTATGTATCACTGTTTCCTTCTATCATCCCTTTGATTTCTTAACTGTCTTTATTGGTGTTCCAGTATTTGTTGTCGACTAGGAAACAAACTATCCCAAAGTACTCTTTCTTTATTTTGAAGTAGCTGCTTTTTCATGAAAGCCAATAACTAGATGCGATGCCCTGTTGCTGACCCATGATGAAGATGGCTCAGTGTATTAACTTAATGGGATAATTACCTTATTTGCTGCATTTTTTCCACTTTCAGAATGCAATAGACCTTATCATTTTCAAAACAAATCCAAGAAAAGCAGTAATAAAACATCTATTTAAGTAGTTGATAGTCAGATGTTATGTAGCAATCAAGACTAGTAATAATCTATTTCGGGGAATGAATCTCTCTTATGTATTTAATTACAAAACGTCAAAATGGGAATCACTCTTTCTGTTGAAAAATTCAAATTTTCTGTCCATCATCATGTGTTATTATATTACTTAAACGTTTGTATCGGGTTATATCTTGTACCCCACCCTTTGTTGTTGCTTTTAGTGTTGACATCAAGTTTTTCATCCATGGATAAAAGTTTGGATTAAAGTTTGGCTTAAACGACTATAGATTTAGAGATAAGAAAGTAGTTAATGGGCTAGTTTTAAAGCAGCTTACATGTGTATGCAGTAAATCTTGAGGGGAAGAAAGATCTCTGCTAGATTTTCTTCAGTAAATTTATTACCTGTTAAAAATTAAAAGGGAAAGGAGTACTTCAAAATGAACTACTTTGTACATTTCAATGTAGGCATAACATTGCCTTGAGTAAATGATAAATTGGTGCCATGTTGCACAGAATCATTACAAATTCACACTATTCCATTTAAATTGCATACAATATCAATAATGTAATCTTAAAAATGAATCACTGATTATAAAAGATAGATTCACTTTAAAAGCTTAGCATAATGCCAGTATTTGTACACAGTATCGGCTTTAGAACCTGTTCACTTTAAGATTAACAAACCAAGAGCATCAAATTTTGTTTATTTCTATACAATTATACATGTAGTCACATACATGTACATGTACGTCTCTGAGTTTATATGTCCTGACATGTAGTTAACCGGTACCCAAACATTGTGCACGTCATTTTCATAAGTAAGTCTTCCTTGAAAATGCTAAATGAGAACTTTCCTTATATAAACAACCAACATGAATCACAAGTTCCTTACCAGTATTCAGTTTAAGTGAAATTGTTACAAAAATAAAGACTAAAATAACTTGTTGTTAATGTTAGGTAATGACAGGGAAATGCAATGCAGAAAGGGGAAACGAAATGAGAAAGAAATATATATGTCAAAGACTTGGACAGATTGATAGAACAATGTAGTGAGGATGGTTATGATCCATAGTTTATTTTGATGATGGTTCAAAATTAAAAAAAGAAAGAATAACAAAAATTTAAAGGAGAGAGAGAGAAAGGGCAAGAGAGAGGAAAACAAAGAAGGATAGTGAATGATGGTGTATTAGCCAAATGTTTTAAGATGAAAATAAAGTATGGAGAATATTTATTGGATATGACCTTTTTTTTAATTTAGAATTTTTCATAAATGCCACATGAGCAGGTTGAATGTGGTCATACCAGAGAATGATTTCACAAAAGACTTTTGATATGTGATACATTATCATTTTATATCATCTGATACAGTATTATAAATGATCTTAAGTGTGATATTTAAATGGTGGCAACGTGGCGTGATGGCTCAGCGGTAGAGCAGTGGATTGGTAATCAGGAGGTATTTAGTGCAAAACCAAGTTGGTGTGGTAGCCCTCCCTTGTAAGGCATCAGTCCCTCAATTCAGTCCTTTGAATAAGATTTAAAGCTGTAGGTCCTCAAATTACCATAAATAGTCTATTGTGCTTTCATAGCAGTGAAGTATGTCATAAATTATCAATCTAATTATAGTAACAAGCTTTACATAATTTTTGTATTTTGCAGTGACACGAACCTGACCCTGTTTGTGGTCCCAAGAGAAGAAGACATCCTCCAGGTTGCCTACCCATCATCTGCTTATAAAGCTGTCAATCAAACTCCTAAGCAGACAGAGCACAAGACAAGCTTGGTCCAAGACCAAGGTAGAAAAGAGCCTGCAGAGTACAGCAGCCAGACTAGTAACCTATCATCTATATCAGATGGCAATGATGTGGTGGTGGTGGGTAAGGGTATGGAATGTGAAGACACAGAGTCGGTCAAAGAAAGGAGTGACATTAGTTACTTGACGACGGACACACCAACATACAGGGTACCGGAGCATAGAAGCCAGACAAAACTGGTCACATCAACGCCAAATTCTGATGTTTATCACAATGAAAAGAATGAAAGAAAGATCACAGACTCTAGGCAACAGTACAAAGTCCAGCGAGTGACAGCATCTACGATCAACCATGAATCTGCAGGACCGATGAAAGTCACATTAGTTAATCCATCTGGTGGGGAAGCATCACATGGGACAAAAGAACAGAAGACTTTTCGATTAACAAACGTTTTAAATACACAAAGTTCTAGTAAACAGCCAAATAGTCTTGCTGCATTGGAAGGTGTCTCGGACTCACATGAACAACATGACACACAACCTCAGAGACATGTAGCATCACTCAAGAGCTACTATGAAGCAGCCAAACTTGCCAACTCCTCACAACTGTCAAAAGAACCTGCAGATACCTCAAAGAATAGTTCAAGCCGTGGCTACAGTTCTAGCGTGGACAACTTGCTTTCTACTTCAGGGTTCTCACCCGCACAAGCGGTGCTTAGGGTCCAGCCCCAAAGAGGACTGAATGGATCCTCATCTTGTGATGATTTATGTAACTCAGCTGCTGCACGTTCAGAGGTAGGGAGACTGAACAGACAAGTGAGTATTATCAATGGACAAAGTGTACAAAGAACAGATGGTGAAGACTCCCCTGATGGAGCTATGCATACATGGAAGAGTGAGCAGGAGAGTGTGAAAGTAAGTAGGAGTGGAGGCCTTGCTAAGGTATCATTACATGTGGATGATCCTGATGTACATGATGCATACAAGGCATCCCTCAAAGGAGAGGAGTACTCAACACATGCAACGCGCGTTACTGTCTCAGCTTCAGTCTCTGCGGATAACCTCTCACAGAATGCAAGGAACATTAATGTGTCTCCCAAACATGAAGGGAGAAGGTTGACTCTGAATCAGGATTCTAAGAACATCTCTAGTAGTTCATCTACTGCTCTGGTGCCAGTCTCACGATCCCCATCCTTAGCATCAGGGAGAGTGGTACATCTATCTAACCAATGTCAGTTACTCCCTGATAAACCACAGGACAGTAAGGTCTACTGGGACAAGAAACCCAGCCCTACAGAGCCAGTAGATGATTTGAACTTAACAGTCAGTGATGGCTCCTTATTCCCTTGGAAGAGAACAGGATCAAGAAGAGGTTCTTGTGATAGCGATGGGAGCGGGGGAAGAGGCTCTACAAACAGCCAGGGAAAGCCTAAGCCAGCAGTGCCAAAAAGAGATAGTAGCAGGAATAGGATTAGAGAAAGAAGTCTTGAGAGGGAGAAACAGAGAGACAAGACTAGGAATGAGAGACATCGAAGTCGAAGCTATGACCGTGCGCACCAGAGAACCAATTGGTCCCAGTTTCAGGTATGACAATTACAGTACATTTATATATTTAGCAAGTACTAAGTCTAAAGTACAGTATTAATCTGATTGTAAAACTATTCATCACATTTCTTTCTTGGGGATGAAGAGAAATGAGCTAGTGTCAAGAAAAGCACTCCCTTATCAAACGCTATCAAGTAATGAGCTTTCACTACTACTTTTAAAAATTTCTTGATATGCAGGGAAGTTAGCTTTTTTTACGCAGTATATAGGGAGCACCCATGGGCTCAAATATGTTGAACTAAATTGGACTCCTCCATTATCCCTTGAAAATATTGGAGCAATGAATGAAAGTGATTAGAAAATGAGAATATGGAATTTAACTACCCAATGATGATATTGAATGATTTGATCCATGAATAAGAGAAGAGAAAGTGACATTATTCAGAGTGTATTTAGATGACTTTGATAACTTATTGGTGATCTTTTGATATGATTTGATGATAGGCATACAGGAAGAATGCAACAGGTGCGGTACCTGAAGGTATTCAGCTTGATGATGGGACGCTCATACCACCAGGAAGGAAAGATTCTAGCGCTAGCAGTAACAGCGCAGGATCTACAGGAGAAAAGGAAACCAAACTATTCCCAGGTAATCTACTGCATCTATACACTCATGTAGTATGTAAAGAGAAATATTTCCCTATCATTTTGAAGGCCTTTTTTAAAAGCAAAGTCATTCCTGTTGTGTTAATTGAGTGACTGTGTCCTGGAGCCCTGTCTTGTTTCCACAAGTGCTTTGATAATTCCTGTATGTCATTTAGTTGGTGTTTTAGGAAGGTATTTTACACAACAGTCATCTTATTTTTATGAACCAATTTGCTTCTGGTCTTGTTCCCCTGTAATTTAACATCAATTTTGCACGTAATGTGTGGTACGTTTTACTCCATTGTTAGTAATATATGTTTAGGAAGATTCATAGCATTTCTTTTTTTTAAATTAAAAGATACTATTAAAGCAACAGGAAATATGCCACTTTTACGATCTGTATTTTCATTGCCTTGGTGAAGAACATTACATTCATCAAAATGTACATGTAAAAGTCATTGTCAAAAAAAGGTCATTGTATAAAAAAACATATTCATTACATATACATTCCACACCCTTCACAAATACAAATGCTTTTCTTTATTTCCTAAACGTAATACAAAATTGCAAATCATTGTAGATGCAATTGTTCCCTTCTTTATACTGCAGCCACGTACCAAAGCTATGTGTATTCTCATCTTGAACACAGTTCTCATTTGTCATTACCCTCTGTTTTCACTTCCAATACACCATAGAAAATAGTCTTTTAAATCACTCTGACTTTTACCCTGATTCTTACCCAGCTGCCGTGCAATGTACTAAAGCACCCTGCATATATGTTTTTCCTTCCCACTAGTCTTCTTTTCTTTCAAACATCATGCTGTCATTATTTCACAAAATGTGTCTGTGCGTGATTGTCATGGATTTTTGTGGATGATACTCTACAATACTTTATCATCATTTTCTTCTGTTAAGAAGTCTATTGCTTGTGCATATGTTTCCCAGTCTCACATGAATTGTATTTAAGTTTTGCTATTCCCAGTACTGATCCCTTCAATATTTCATACTTGGTATCTTGAGATCTTTCTCTTACTGATCTTGGGTATCAAGGTACATACACATTTGTTTTTCTCCTCTCTCTAAGTTCCATTCTAAGAATTTGTAAACAGTAGTAGGAGGTAGTATCATACTCATAGTAATGTGTAAGGTCTAGAAAATTTTCTTCCCCGATGTAAACAGCATTCATCTTAAAAATGAGGCGACCGAGATCAACATCGTTTGACACTGGACAGGATCGCCCACGGACCGTGTCCGATTCAGGGTTCTTCAGGTATGGATCATGGTCAACCAAGCGAGGGAGTGGAGGAAAGATCAAAGATAAGATACTTGGTGGGTCTACGCGTCGTCTTCTACAGTGGAAGGAAGGTGTGGTGCTGGTTGTATCATTCATGTATTCATTCAAACCATTGCTATCATAGGTTGCCATGTACAGGTAGACTTGAGGTCTGGTGATAGTCAAACATTAATATATCCCAAAATTTTGCAAAAAGAATGAATGCTGATATAAATCGTTCTTAACTTTAGAAATGTTTGTGATTTAATTAAACCTAAAGCCTCAGTCACAAATGCCATTACAAACTGCTACGAACGATTTTCAGACAATGGAAACTCGGGAAGACAATGGAAAACCAGGGAGATTCGTACAAAATTATTAATCTTACGAACATTTGTGACAGTAGCATAATGCGCATTTGGTTGATTTGACTTAAATTGGGATAAACAAATCAAGAGGAGAACATAATTAATTCATTCATTTTTTATAGAAAATGTATCATTTTTTAGTAACTCATGGAATATTCTGGGAATAGGCTAAAACTGAGGATTGATAATGTATAAGAAATTTTATCTACAATGCTTAGCTTATCTGTGAGCACTTTGTTTTCTTTCATTAGTCATAATATCACATTGATATGAGGACTCGTTTAATTGAATATGTTTTTAACAGTTTATTTTAAAATGCAGTCAAATTACCAGAACTCAAGTCTATCTTCATACCACTGCCATCTTATTATGCTATATTGAAACACAATGCTGCTATACATGTATGCACTGTATTATACAATAAAGCAATCATATCATGCACCTAACCTTATATAAGTATGCTGCTCATCTAACCCACATCACCTCATGCAAGTAGAGAACAAACAATCACACAAGAAAAATCGCACTCACAAAAAACATTTGTGCACAGGATACAGGAGAGGACATTTCATGTGTGTTGTGGGGAAGCAATCAATGAGGGGAAAATGCCATATTCAAGGGAGCAGTTTGATGTGAATGTCATAAAGTTTTCATGATTGTATAGAGAGGGGATTTGTAAAGTATACTCCATACTCTTGATCCATAGATTATCTTGGTGATGGGATTAACAATGAGCATTGAGTATTAGCTGAAATTGTGCAATGTTGAAGGCTAATATGTGAAACAAATATTTTCTTACGAAGGAAAACTCTTCAAATTGAAAATGAACACTGTAAAATAATTTCTGTAACTAGTTTAGGATTTTTTGTTTTCCTAAACTCACAAAAATTCTATGTCAAATTTCATTTTGGAATATTATCATCTTTCTGTGTTTCAGTTTAAAGTTTGAATATCCCTAGGCCTACTGTCGTAGGGGTGTTAACATAGTTGTTCAAATTGGATTATGTACGTGTTGACACTCGATGTTCCTCAAGATATGTATGTGGTTGTGCGGTTCCCCTGTAAACTTATATTTCTCTGTTTATCCTGGCAAGGATTAGCCAGTGCATTAGTAATCACCCTAGGGTTAATCACGCTGTTAAGCTGTATATCCTGTGATCTCTCTTTGAGACCTTTCAATCAAAAGAAAAGAGATAGAAAGGTGCTACACCTGTGAGACAAGATTGATCATGCTTGTCAGAATAAATGAGCTGCAAGCAGGCAAAATGTTGGGATACACTTCACAGGTACATAAAAGATTGATAATGTCAAATATCATATGAGTGGAAAGTAGTGCACACAGTTATGTATTATGCGAGCAGGTTTTTTAAAACACTTTACTAACATCCGGGCCTCCAGATTTGCTAGATGGACCACAAAAAAATGCATGACATTTGAAAGATATCACACCCAAATCAATAAGTGCAGTTATCCATTCTGATCATTAGTTTTGATACCTTTATATTAAAGTCTAGTTGATTGTGATTTTTTTTCTTATATAAACAAAAGTTGGGTCAAGCAGGTAGATGCCCAAGTTGGTATTGATGTGGGCTAGAGGTTGAATGAAATATTGGTGAAGCGCTGTACGAAAGGGCAACATGTTTTCATACTAATTTGAATGTGAGATTCCTTGAGCAGTTGTTGAATGGTGATGGATTGTTGACGTTCGGCCAAGTAAGATTTTTTTTTAAAGTGGTTTTTTAGGTCAGTGACAAGTTTCATTTGCCATGTAAGATAAAAATGCAAAATTGTGTTACTCTCAATCTGAATTAAATACTGATTAGGTTACTGCAGTTTGTATGACATAGCAAGTAAGAGTAAAGGTAAGGGTAAAGCATTGTACTGATCCTATCATGGGCAGGGCAGGATAAGATCACCTGTAGAGTGTCTTATCAAAACATGTTTCTTGATGAGCTCTGGCCTCATTATAAATCTCTAGGAAACCAGTCTCAAATCAAGTGCTTCCTGTTATGCGTGGCAATGTAGCTATTCCTAGACTCTCTTGCCCTCCCTCTCGTATACCTCCCAAGGATGTGTCAAGGAGAAGATCAGACCACCTTCCTCTATCCTCATATAACCTGTCTCTCAAGAAGCCCTAGCTACCCTACTTGACATGGCCCCCATCCCCTCTTTGCTTCATCTGCATTGACTTCATCCATGTTAACTTGATTCCTCCATTAAAATCTATCCTTACTGTCATGACCCCTCCCCATTTTGTGCCCTCATTGACCCGTCCCTTAACTACATTCTTATTAATGTGACCCTTTCCTTCACTATATCCTTATTGACATCTCTCCCTTAGCTCCATCCTTTTTTACATGATCCCTCTCCATTTTGTGCCCTCATTGATATAACCCCTCCCTAAGCTCCTCCCTTAGCTCATTCCTTATTGACATTACCCCTCCCCTAAGTACATCCTTATTGACACGACCCGTCCCTTAACTCTATCCTTATTGACATGACCCCTGTCTTCTGTCTTAACTCTATCCTTATTGATGTAACCCTCTGTTTAATACATCCTTATGAATGTAATGAGTGTTTACAGAATGACCATGTTATAGGAGGAGATGAAGTATCTAGAGCAATACTTAGGTTAAATCATTCCAAAAGTGATGGTGTAACAGGTGTGATGTCTGATCATATTATACATGGAAAGAAAATAATCAGTGGATATTTAGCAATGCTTTTTACTGCCATGTTATGGCATGGAGTGTCGCCAGATGGTATGCTCAAAAGTACAATGGTACCAATACCTAAAGGTCGTTGGAAAAATTTGGGCGATTCAGGAAACTTTCGTGCAATAACACTTGGTAGTATCATTGGTAAAGTTTTGGATTATGTATTTATGAAAAGGGAAGAAGGGAACTTGCAGACTAATGACCTACAGTTTGGTTTCAAAGCAGGGTTATCAACTACACTATGTACTGCTATGGTTAAAGAAACTGTATCGTACTTTAATCATGAAGGGAGTAATGTGTATGGATTATTGCTAGATGCTAGTAAAGCATTTGATAGAGTTAATTATGTGAAATTGTTTGACATTATGCTGAGCAAAGGGGTCTGCCCAATGATATGCAGGCTATTGCTTAATATGTATAAGAATCAAAGGCTAAGGTTGAAATGGAACAATGCATATTCTGATTATTTTACAGTTAAAAATGGTGTTAAACAGGGTGGAGTTATCTCTCCTTGCATGTTCTGTTTGTATCTAGATGGGCTGATAGAAGAGTTATGTGACAATGGGATAGGGTGCTTTATGGGCAATGTTTTTGCAGGAGCATTTGGTTATGCAGATGACTTGACACTGCTGTCACCTAGCGTGACTGCTCTTCAAGAAATGATTAAAACTTGTTTAGATTATGCCATTAAATTTGATATTTTGTTTAACCCTGAAAAGAGTCAGTTAATAGTTTTCAGCTGTAATGGTAAACCAGTTATGGATCCAGGAATCACGATAAATGGAAGACATATTGATATTGCATCAAAAGTAACTCATCTAGGGAATGATATTTCTAAGAATATAAATGATTTTGATATCTCAAAGTGTGTTGGAGATTTCAATCGACAATGTAATATGTTTTTGTTTAATTTCAAATATGCTAACTCTCACATAAGAAATATATTGTTTCATAAATATTGTTCGAGTTTCTATGGCTCACAGTTATATCCTCTGTTTGATAAATGTTTTGATAATATTTGTAGACAATGGCGGGTTGCAATAAGAAGGGTTTGGAAAATTCCATGGCAGACACACTGTCATCTTTTGCCTTATTTAGCAGGTGTTATGGATCCAGAGTTATGGTTTGCAAAAAGATGTTTATCTTTTGTTTTGAAAGCTATGAATTCCAAAAATTATACAGTGGCACATATAGCTGGAATGGCCAGGTATGGAGCTCATTCTGTGTTGGGAGGTAACATAAGATTCTTGAATGATAAGTACTTCATGGATAACAATGAAATTCAAAAGCAGTGGGCTGTGCAATGCCAAGTGAATGATGAGACAATACGCATAGTTGAACAAGTAAAGGAATTGATCAACTCGAGGGATGATTATTTATGTAAGGGTTTCCTTAACCGAGAGGAGTGCGAGGAAATTATCTTGTATTTATGCACACTCTGATCTTACCCTGTTATACATGTATTCTGTTGTTGATGTTGTTTGTTTGTCTTTACATATATTGTGAATGTGCCTATTTGTAGAATATAGTGTATATTTTTTTGTTATTTTTTATATGTGCTTTTTAAAGCGAATAAAGAACTCTTGAATTGAATTGAGATGATTCCACCCCTTTCTGTGCCCTCATTGTTATAACCCACATTCTTGTTGTGACATACCCCCTCTACGGTCACCACGGTCCTTACTGATATGAACCACTTGTCTATGGATTTATTTCCTTGTTGACACTATCCATTTTGGCTCTCAGCAGATGTCCTGTCTTCATTAAAGCCACACTGTCCTACTTGTAGCTACTTGCTCCCTCTATATAGAAAACAATGCCTAATCGGTGACCATTGGTCCCCCATGATCCTCTTTTTCTTATGTTAATTGAGAGCTGAGTTGATGAGATAGCCACCTGTCATTGACCACGATGTGTGGTTTAATCCGCCCTAGCATAACTAGTACAGCCAGCCTTTATATATCTTTTGGACCATTCCCAAGTTAAATCAGCTATGTATCAACAGTATTTCTTATATCTTTATAATGATCATGAATTGCATACATCCTCTAACCATGCATGTGATAGTATGTATACCTAATAAAGCTTAGCCATAAGGCAAAATAATTTTCCAATCGCCATGAAAAACCATGCGGAGTCCCAAGTATTAAAGACTATCGGAAGATGAAACCAAGGTGATAGTCTTCTTATTCCTGACTTGATTTTATTCATTTTCTTTGAGAGAGGGGGAATTTTTACTTCGTTTGGAAGGCAAACTGTAAAATTACCTGCATGTTTATCCTATACCTTAAAAACTGTTAGAGACATTTTCCTGAAATTAGGTGTATTTACCTGTTTCAGTCACTGCTCTGTTATGAGAAAGTTAAAATTTGCTTACCACAGTTCATATCATATATCTTCCAAGAATGATTTGTGTAAGTCTTTATTCAATCTAGTACCTACATTTATGTGTGCAATATTCATTTTTAAAGATCTATTTATGAGAAATTTGTTTTAATTTCACACTTCATAGAATGGTATAAATATAACAAACCTTGTGTTTCAATGGGTGAATGAATGTTCAAGGTTTTCATGGAATTACAAACTTATATTACTTCTAATTCCGTCATTTATAGAGTGTGCCATTGATACTGTATTAACATGATTAATTACTGTGTTCTTATTGAATTAGACTGTAACTCAGGAAGATAGATCAAGTAAGCAATATTTATTATCACCCACCAGAGGGCAGTATTCAATTCATAATTGATACAGTTAACAACTGAATTATTCATACCCCTTGTAAATTATTCATACCCCTTGTAAATTATTCATACCCCTTGTAAATTATTCATAACCCTTGTAAATTTTATGTTTTGTGTGTTTTCGTAACTGAGGAATGAAAGGGGGACTGGTTGAATCAAGGCCTTTGTTATAGTAATTTTGGATGTCCTTTGGCTTTAACATGTCACATTCTCAGGACACATGAATACCAAAGACAAATCAATTTTTCACATACTTACAAAATTACAAAACTTGGTAAGGATATGAATAATTTAGTTGTTAACTTTACATGTATTTGGTTTAACATTTGATATATGGGGTAACATTGGTATCATTATTTTAATTTGTACTTTTGAATTTTGTTGATTTTGATTCATTGTTATACATTTCATTTGGATGCAAAGTGGTTACATGAATTTCCAATGATGACATAAATATTATCAATATATTGATGAGATTTACATTTATGCATATGTTTATATTAAAAAAATCCTAAGGAAATGATGTTATAAAACTTAAAAGAGATATAATGTCAGTATGGAATTGTAAAATGATACTGAATATATATATTTTGTATCAGAGTGTACATGTTTTGAACTTTGAAAATGTGCTCCATAGGATTTATTGGGGGATATTGTATCCTCACATGTCACCAAAAAGGAAAATAACAGGGAAATTCATGTTACCACAAGATTTTCTTAATGTCATTTGAGTTTATAACAATTGTACACCTATTGCAGTATGAACCATTGTTTAGAAAACAAGAATTCTTGTTTTTTTAACCATGTTAATCTCTATGTAATCTCATGTATTTTTTTTGTTTTAGGTGCACTTTCTCACTCCATATTTATGATTTACTTCACTGCTATTAGATCATGCTATTCAGTTGTTGAGAGCCAAAAAGACATCAACTCAATCTCGTATGAAATGAGTTTAGTGTCCTCCTGCTTCTAAGAAAATTATTTATATTGTTTAATCATTATTTTGCAAAGATTTCAGAGTTGTATGTTGGCTAATGCAAACTATATTTTATTTCATTTATTATTTGATTGAAGTGGATTTATTTTAGTTGTTTATCATTTTGCCATGGGATGCAAGGCGTTTATTAACAACCATGCTGTTTCCTTGATGAACATGTGATTGATTTTGTCTGTAAACTCTACTGAGAACCAGAAAGAATTTGGCCTTATTTCCAAACTATGAAGATACTGCTAAGTTCTTGTAAATCATTTTCTTTCTCATAAATAATAGAGACACCATTTTTGTTAATGTTGGTATTTGTTTGTAAAAGGATACTGAAGTGGGTTAATAGTTACACTTGGTTTAGTTTATATTTGATGGTATTAACTTGAGTAATTTGAAAAAAATATAATGAATTACCTTTAAACCTTATTTGGGTTTGATTTGTTTTTAGTACAAAGAATCCAAAATGATATAGGCCTACTGGTATGTTCTTCTGGTTCTGGGCAGAGATGCCTGGTTATAGGTGCAGCAATTGAATTGGGTTTCATGGGTATTATATTATTATTGACTGCACTCATTTAGTTTATTTTGTTTTCATAATAGAAAGAATTGTTTATGAATAAAAGATTTGCAAAGAGACAAAAGAAACGTGGAGAGATAAATTAATGCATATGTTGTGAATTTTCCATTTGAAGTTTCTACAGTAAATTTAATGACTTTGTCAGTGATTCAATGATATTTTTTTAGTGATATCCATACATTTTAAATGTAGTATTTCCTGTTTTATATAAATTGATTCTATCAGTGTAATGTATAGCAAGGCGTGGGTAAGCAACAGAGTGTTTATATAGATAGAGTATACCTTACACTGGCTTGCATAGTTCTCATAGATAGATTCACTCTTTTCATATCCAATCTTTTGTTTTATTTCAGTTTTATGTGAGCTTTTATCATCCCAATCCTTCCCAAGCTTATCACGCTGCGGCATATCAAATTCAGAAATGTTTATCGCTTTTAAGCCCTACCGCTGAGATTAATCCAAAATTAGTCTCCTTTAATTTCTGATCGCCATGCCATTTCCTGGCATGTGATGATGTGAGCTACAATTGTAATGAGTTTCACTGATTTCAGTCAAGCAATCAGTCTAGAAGGGCTCGGATCGTTTCTTTTTCTTGGAGTTGGAGAGAACTGGTCTCAAATTTCAACTTCCAAGTATGCCTGTTTTTCCTGTTTCGTTGCCTTTCGTTTCGTTGCCTTTCCAAGGAATCGCTCATTTTTAAGTACATTTGAATCCTGTGAACCTTTGACAGTCTGTGCTGGTGAATTTGAAGCCAGAGACGTGATAGGTTTCAGTTACATTGGTTCAATTTTTGAAAAAGTAATATTGGGAAAGTAGTGACTATCTCCTTATTCACAGAAGCTTGTATACTATTTATCATAGATTCTTTTAGCAAAATTGTTATGTTTATTTATTAGTTCCCCCCCCCCCCCCCATCACTGCCTGCTCTCATGTTATTTGTTGTCTGGTCATTAACAAGTTGTATAAAATGTTGATTAATGTTCTCAGGTCAGTCCGGACGTCAGAGACTTGTACGGAGGACCTCGTATCTCAGGGCGACAGGGTCTGATGGTGAAGAGGAAGAAGAACACGGAGATTCAGGGAGCGTCACATCATCACAGGAAGGAGAAAGACAATCAAGAGAGTAAGCTACAGTGTCTCGTATCAAGTCTTTTCATAGAAAAATGAGTAAAAAATTGTAAGCTCAGCTGCTTTGAGAGAGTCGAGAGGCTCGGCTCTCATTCTCGGTGCTGTGGAATAGATTCCAGCGCCAAAGAATTGGGTCTGGGAGTCTCGGAACCGATGTGTTCGGAAAATTGACTCTCTAGAGATTGGGATCGACTCCTCGGTTCTGGATTTCAGAATCGGGTAGAATCAGGTACTCGGCGCTCACTCCCAAGCCTATTTGCTACAGAAAAGGAATGGGGATGTCGCTATTAATCTTCATGTCAAAATCAAATGTATTACCAGTACTTGAATGGACTAAATTGAAATTAAATGAAACAAGCGTGTATAAATTATGTTTTCAGTGGAAATTGAATAAAAAACTTGAGTTGTTACTGTGTAATTACAGGGAAGAACTAGATCTTCTTGGAAGGGAGATGAGAAGGTGATCATTTGCATAATATGCCGTGTCTCATCTGCTTTGCTCCCTTATAGGAAGATCACTCCAAAGCGAAATGCAAGCATCCGGAAGCTGAAATCCTTCTTTGGAGAGGGAACACCGAAGATAGTAGAAGCGCAGCATTGTCGAAGGCCTTCTATGATTGAGTTGCTTGGTACTGGACCTGTAGCTAAAGAGGGGCCTCTTAATATCAAGGTATGTAGGCTAGCTAGGACAGCTAATGATTGTTGATTATTAAAGGTGAACTGATCGGTTATCATGGATTATTAATTTCTGGTTATTAATAATCTTTTAGGCAGTAGATCTTTAGCCAATTAGATGCCTCTCAGAGTGGTCAAATAATGTTACTTTAAAAAATAATTTAAAAAATGAAATAATATATTTAAAAAAAGTAAATAAATAATAATAATTTTTTTTTTTTTTGTGAACATAATCAAAATGAAGGCAATTTTTACATGAGATGATAGAATTCAGTTTACCACATATTTAGGAGTCTTTTTACAGTTTACTTGATAAGCCTGTTCATGCTTCCAGTTCATATCTGTTCATTTGATTTGCATGTTCATGCATCAAATTGATTATTTACTTTCCATAATTTGCAATGGCATTATGGCATATATTCTTCCTTTACAAGATATTTGAGTGTTAATCCTTGTGCACCTTTGTGCATGTTTTGTATTGCAGCTGGCTCCTAACAGATCATGGAAACCTGTATGGGCCGTCCTCAAAGGACAGGTCAACAAACTATTCTTGATGAAGGAACAGAGAGATCCATCACAGGTAAGAGTGAGAATGATGTATTCATTGGGCAATTAGCATAAATGTACATATTCATTGGGCAATTAGCATAAATGTACATATTCATTAGGTAATTAGCATACATGTACATATCATTGGGTAATTAGCATTAATGTACATATTCATTGGGCAATTTGCATAAACGTACATATTTATTGAGCAATTAGCATAGATGTAGCACTAACAGAATGGGGGGGGGGATGGAGGGGTACACTTTAATGCTAATAGGTATAGTGTCCTTTTCCAACTGATTGAAATGCCTTATTGTAAGGCCATGTCGTATATATTTGGTATCGCATGAAAATGTTCAAAATCTCTTTTATTGCACTTAAAAGGCTCCAACAAAATCATGATTAATCAGTAATTATTAATCCAGCTGCTAATTTATCCCCCACCCCTACGCCTCCTCTTGTAAATCATTCCAAGTACATGAACCTTTTGAACTGCAATCCCCTTGTATTTGAAGTTGTGTTTTGTACTAATTAAAAGCTCCAGTCCACAATCAGATTGATCAATGTATACATTAAGTGTTTCCTGTTTCAGAAAGGCATATGGTTGCTAAAATTTAGATTCCTGCTTTAATGATTGTGTTCTGTCTAAGTCAATTGAAATAATTCTAATTCATTAAAGGTAATACAAAGTTTTGGGAAATTTTGAAAATTGGGTGGAAAGTGATTTTTTACAATTTTAATATATTTGGATGCCCCTGTGGATGTATTATAAGCACTAGAAAATTTAGCCCCCAAAATACTACTGCCTTTTCAAATAGCTCCTACAGCCCTACAATAGTAGCTGCGGCCATGAAAATTTCAGAATATGTAGTTGCGATATACAATTTCCAAACGGGAATAGCTAATCGGTTGATTCTAGTCAAGAAACATTGTTTTATAGCTTAATTAATATCTTGACCTTGAGAGGGAGCTATACAACATCAAGAGTTTATTATTTACAATTTTATAACTTTAGACTTGAATTCAACCGCGACAATGATCACTAAATATTGTACGATCGCATATGCTTCCAGTATATTCATTTGAACCAAATTCATGACCCCGTACCAAAAATTGTATCACCTTTAAGGCTACATGTATGATGTACATCCCATGATGTATTAGTTCTTGTAACATCTGCTAAATATAAACCGCAGTGAGATTCATATTCCATGTTTTGCTTCAAGCCAACAAGCATATTGAGAGTGATCCTGTAAAGTAACAATTTCCTGTATTTGGGTTGTTCCGGATTACTTGAAATCCAAGTTCTGCCCTTATCTGTTACCGATCGTACTTTCACTGAAATGTTCTATGTATAACATACAGTACAATCTGCAGGACACACATTTAGCTTCTAGGGAAGTTTCCCCCCTTTTTCTTGTATTTTTTCAATGTAATATCACCATGCAGCAGCCCCCTCCCCACTCCCCACCCCCAGACCTCTTGAAAATCACATATATAGACCATGGACAAGGAAATGTTCTTTGAATGGGCACAAAGAGAATATTTATACAAATGTAATGTAATTGAAAACATTGGGTCACTGCTTATGATTTTTATTTTTTAAATCCATTAAAACTTTTATTAATCAAATAATTCATACACACATAATGATAACAATAATCACAAAATCGCTGTACAATAATTACAAAAGGTAAAAACAAATGAAAAACGTTAAACAATACAGAAATACTGTAGTGGGTAACACATCCTTTTCTACAGTGTATATGATAGGATATGTAATCAAAATGATTCTTCCACAGGGGACCATTGCTTATAGTGCGATCCTCACTGCTTATGATTGTCCTCACATTGGCATTGCTCCTATGAGGATATTAGGGTGTGAAAAAGAAAGGAAAGAGAGTCTGTAGCATCTGGAAAGGATATAGGAAATGCTAACAGGAAGACAGGGCTGAATAGATAGGATATGAAACCATATTTTTATTTCTTTCATTTTTATCATAAGTATCAGTTGGGCAGATACCATTCTTTGTTTAAGTATCGTGTTTCTTTCCTGCACCATGTTGGATCCTCATTGTATGTTGTTTGTGAAGTATGTGCTCACTTTCTGGTTTAATGGGTGCATTGTCTAGTGGGGATACATATGTTTGTGCATACATACAAATCTGTGACCAGTCCACTGAAGATTGGACTTACTAACAAAGTCACAAGAAGGGATCTAGAAAGGCAATAAAAAGCAGTTGTTCACAAAGGGTTGTGAGAAACCAAGGAGAGTGAACTTGTTTCTCAGCTCCTACTTGAGACAACATGAGGAGGTTTGTTAGAATTTATCTTTATTTAAAGACTTGCAATTAAAAAGGCCTGTGATAGGACCCAAGACAGGTAGAGAGGCAACAAATTCAGTTGAATCGCCTTTGGAAACTGCTACTATAGAGACATCGATTTAAGTTGACGAATCAACTGTGCAGCTTCAATGTTTTACTCAAGGAACCTGTGGCAGTTTCCTGGACATCATCTTGTATAATGTATGACCTTAAGCTAGAGATGGGACTCTTGATGTCTGATTAAACACCCTTGGTAATTATTCTGTTTAACCTCTGAACTCTAACCTTTGTTCTTGGTAGCATCTTGGCCTCCTTGACCAGCCGATCAGTCTGAATGGATCAACGGTTGACATTGCCTATGATTACACGAAGAAGAAGAAGAATGTCATTCGTCTTACAAGCGTAGCTGGAACAACCTACTTGCTGCAGGTGAGAGGAGAATTCTGGAGTGATGAGTTTTAAGAAGAAATTATCATTGGCATTAGGCCTAAAAAAACAAGATGTTGTATTGCCCTTTAGGTGCCAAATCATGGGTCGATCGGTCAGAAATCTTTTTTTATTTATTTTTTACTCCCTCTTTGGGCTGATATTTTTCAGTTTTGAATGCTTTAATACCTTTTTTTTTTTTTAAAACGGTAAAAAAAAAACTTAAAAAAAAAAAACCCACCGTAGATTTCAAGATTTTTGGGGCGGTCGCAGAGGGCAATACAACATCTTTTTTTTTAGGCCTTATTATGAAATATGGATTGAATTGAACTGTTAAATATTCGCTGCTATTCCATGGAACATCCAAATAGCTGTCATACATGTACACATGAGGTGTCGTGGCATGAGTAAATCATTAGAATGTGAAAGGATCACTGTAATAGGTTCCTGTGCTAGAAGGCAAACAATATAGTTGAGAGAGATGAAAACCTTTCACTCTATTTATTTCATCTTTAGCTCAGTTTTACATTATATCTAGATGATTGACATGTGTTAATTGAATTATGAAAGTGTTTGTCCTGTTCATAATAGAGTGATGTATTATTTACAGTAGACTATAGCCATGTTCATAGAGTATCAGAGCTGCCAACCAGTACGATTGAATCGTCCTGTAAAGTATCATACAATCATCTCACATTGGCAATTTGGGGATGCTGTTCGGTTCATTGAACACACCAGTCATGACAAAATCATAAATTTTCAACCAATGATCCATACAAAGAAAATCTTCCTGTATGTAGGAACTACATGCACATGTATAAGAGGCATTGATGCAGTGTCTTTTTCTAATACAATTTTTGTCAGCAAAATACAACTTTTTGGATTAAAGAATACCGTTTTTGAACTTCAGAGGTTGGCAGGTCTGGAGTATACAATGTTAGCCATGTTTCTAACCACACCAAGATAACCGATACCTTACAGACATACTTTACAGACAACTAATATTCATGGTTTACATTGCACATGATCGGTAGTACAGACTTATTCTGTGGTATTGCAACAAGTTTTTGTTTTATTATATAATTTGAGGATGTAACGTACATCATGATCTTTTTTGCACACAGGTCAGTGAAGCAGAGACAATGCTTGCTTGGATTAAAGTACTTCAGGAAAACAATGATCCCTGCGAAGGGGTAAGTATTCTGACTTTCTATACTTAGCATGCATTATCTTCTGATCAGGGTCATGCTGTAGACAGAGGGAGGTATACAGACAGAGAGAGAGAGAGACAGAGACAGAGACAGAGACAGAGACAGAGACAGACACAGACACAGAGACAGAGACAGACAGAGACAGAGAGACAAAGAGAGAGAGACAGAGAGACATAGAGAGAGAAAAAGGGAAACTTACACAATATTAATGTTACTTGGCAACAAAATAGGAAAAGAGAAGGGGGAGTGCAATAAAGGAAGAGGTCAATGATGTATGACGCACAAGTTAAGAGAGAGAGAGAGAGAGAGAGAGAGAGAGAGTGACAGGGAGAGAGAGAGAGAGAGAGGCAGAGACAGAGAGAGAGAGAGAGAGAGAGAGAGAGGTAGAGACAGAGAGAGAAATAGACAGAGAGACAGAAAGAGAGAGACAGACAGACGGACAGAAAGAGAGAGACATAGAGAGAGAAAAAGGGAAACTTACACAATATTAATGTTACTTGGCAACAAAATAGGAAAAGAGAAGGGGGAGTGCAATAAAGGAAGAGGTCAATGATGTATGACGCACAAGTTAAGAGAGAGAGAGAGAGAGAGAGAGAGACGGAGAGTATGAGGTCGGTAAGCTTAGATAGGGGGTAAGGGTAGTGACAAATACTTGTATCTGTTGTCTTCAATATTTGACCTGCAATATGATACATGCATGGCTTGCGGACTATTCTATATAATCATAATCACCTCTTTGATGCTAGCTCCCTGGTGAGTTTACTTGCAGATTAGTTCTCTCCTTGTACCTCATTAAATGCATTGTTTTAACGACTGCTCTGGACATATCTTTACTCAAATGAACCTTCATATTCAGTGTTGTGGCTACAAATCAGTATGAAGTTGGACTTGGATTCCCCACATTTTTAGTTGACTTTGTATGTGTTAATGAATGGGCAAGTTGACCGGAGCTCATGGCTAAGACTTTGCACTTCAATGAATATTTCCTCTTTGATTCTGAGTCGTAAGTTTTCATCGATAGTCGCTAGTTCTGTGTGATCTCTGTAACCACGGGCAGTTCAATGGGAAACTCTGAAAAGAGGCATGTTGTATGCAGGCAGTACACATTGTTTCGTGTACAGAGGCCAGTAGTATATATTGTAAAGGTGAGTATAGGGGTAGTGGAACTGATAAAAAGGGAATATTCATTTGGCAATTCTGTTCTATTTCCTTAGCAACAAAATTTGCTGCAGTAACCTAGAAATTCTGTCTTGATATAGAAATGTTTCTTGTAATTTTCTTGTAATTTTCTTGTAATGTTTTGCTGTACATTGCACTTTAGATGTATCTTTTAGCCCATCTTGAGAAATTGCCAAACCCACTTTTTCTTTTCTATTACATCAAGAAATCATGCATATACAGGTACTGTACAATTTATGAACTTGTTTAAAAGATAATCTTGAAGTTTAAAAAATGTAATATATCAATTTTGGAGATTTGAAATGTCTAAAGCATTGAAAGGGTATAAACAGATAAAGTTGTATATTGTTCGTCTCCATTTTCTTGAGCATGATGAATTGTAGCAAACTTGTATTTAGAGTACCGTAGAGGAAATGGTAAAAGAGAGCAACAGATCTGGGAGATGACCCATTTAAAACAACCAAAGGCATAATAGGAATAAGGAAAGTCAAAATTCAAAATTTGGAATAGTGTTTGTAACTAATTTAAGCTTTGTATTTTTACTTTGCTTACTGTATGGTCATTTTCTGTCAGGATATTAAAACCATACTGTGATAGGGGTAGCATTTTGATTCTTATAATGGTCCCATCTTTAATTTTATGAGAGGTATTTCAATTGTGAAATCACATAATGTGTGTGTGCAGTTGGCATACCGGATAGAAGGTTAACCGTTTGATACAACATTTGTGTAAACTTGATTAAAACGTTAATTGCACAATTTAATCTGCCTTGGTGAGGTATAACATGTATAAATGATGTAATCATTTCAGACCGTCATCCCAGCTTAACAATATCTAAAACATTGTGAATATTTCTATACTCTCTTTTTACTTAAAACTGTTGTCAAGTACCTTTAACCAGATGGTAATAGACAGTGATGATCATAATGATAATAATGATAGTGCGGTCTTATATAGCGCTTTTCAGGACCGCATGCCCTCTCAAAGCGCTTTACAGATATATATTATTACCCTGGTCATCGTATTCAGGCTTACCTGCACACAATGTATGCACATTCTCCACTCCCTGGGGAGCATTCCAGCTAGGCGTCATAGGTGATGTAGGAACACAGAATCCCATTTCCCAATACTTTAGTTTCATCATTGACTGAGTCCTGTGCTGTATAGGGGATGATGAAGGGTTTGGTCACTTGGCAGAAAGGTTGTTGTTTCCTTGTATTTGGCTAGCTAGCTAGACTATATCCATTCTACACTGATTACATCCTTCCTCATACTGCCTGCCTGCCCAGTCTAATATAGAGACGCCCTTTGATTGATCCAACCTCTTGTTCTCAATGATTCAGGGGGTGTCATGTTGTCATTACTTTCCAAAGAAAAGGGTATTTATTATTCAGAAATGTTGCTAAAGCATACATATAGATGCAGGATGTTAGTTTTCAGGCTCTCCCTCTGCCACCTGTATAGTATCATTGGTTTCATGGATTGAGTACTAGGTATCATCGTTTGGCCACCAGCCATTGCATTATGTTACTAGAGACTTGCTCTCCAAGATCCTCAACAGTTTTGAAGAAGTATTTCTTTACAATTTTCTTTTTGAAGACACTTAATTACCATCTTCCTTTTATGATCCCTGAATATCTTTTGTTCATCAATATGAACTAAGTCAGAAATTGATATGATTACTCAATACCTATGTTGTTTTGGAATGGAAGCTGTTTGGCATTTAAGGAGGAAACTTGGAATGGGAAGAAAGAATATTAATTGCATGAAGAAAGGGCATCCTTCTCTCATTCATACCAGGGGTTATTACAGGTCATTCTTGCACCATACCAAAGTAAAAGAAACACATCTTAACAGGCTTAGTTTTGATAATTAATAACAATCTGGCATTTGAGTGGTGACATCAGTTTCAGACACAGAGATAAAAGGTTAGGGCTTATGTTGTGATTGTGCTTTTGTTTCATTTGTATGAATGTCATTTTTAATCGAGAATGAAATAAATGAGAATTGAATTGAATTGAAAAAAAGGTTAGGATTAGGAGTAGAGGTACTGTTGGGTCCAGTATTAGAGTTAATCAAATCAAAAGCATTTGTCCATATGCCTTGTACAAAAGGTTTTGAATAACTTTGCGCAATTTGATATTTAATTTACTCCTGATACAGTTGCCAACTCTATCATCTAAGTCATCATCTTCACGATCCTTTGTACCAGCACCAACATTTTCATTTTGATCATCATTAAAATCATTGCCATGATCATCATTATCATTTCCATAATGAGTGCAGTTCCTGTTGTAGAAACAACAAATTCAAATATTTTATGTAGTTTGTTCAATTTATTTTTGTTATACTTGACTATGACAGTGTCTCCAACTATATGTGAACACCCCAAATTTCTTATTTTTCATGTTTTTGTACTAGTTTGGTTATGTTCATGAAGTTCATGCTGATATGTAGACAGCTAACTTCCTTTCTCTTTGTGTGATATCAGTTAAGCTTCTAAATTTAATTGCATTTCCTCCCAAATTGAAACTGATAGGTTTCACTTTACTCGAGATAGCAAAGAAAGTTTGTTTGAAATCTTCACAGCACTCTGTGATATGATCTTGTTTGAGGTCTTACGCTGTGATAGTATCAAACGATACCTAGTTTTGATTCAGTAACTTTGACAATGACTGTTCCTGAGAGAGGAAATAATATTCAGGGGTTTGTGGAATAGGGGGAACAATCTGTTGATGTGGCAATATAAGTCTTTAAATTTTGTAATGGTAAATATATAATTTTTGGTGCGATATACATTGTTTTTATGCAATTGTTCGTTCGTTCGTGTCTCCTTAGATCAAGATTAGTGTATCTTGATCTTCGGAGTAGTTGCAATATCAGTATAAGTTAGATTATTGTGCAATGTTGATCTAAATGAGCCATATTTACTGGTATGTTTCAATCAGTGATTTAAGACCCTCAAGGAGATACTCAACATGTTGATATGGTTGCATGGTAGGAAAGAGGCATCCCTGAAAGTTTTATAATTCCATATTAGAATGATTATATTCATACTACACTGTCTACAAATTACTTTTGTCATAGATATCATAATGAGAGGAGAGCTTTTAAAAGAATCCATTAAGTTTAATAAGTTTGTCACCTCCTACTACCCCTATGAGACTGCCTAGCCAGAATGTCTTTTCCAACAGTAAACAATACAAGTTCTTTTCAATTTCATAGCAGTGACAGTGACACTGATGCATGTTAACTATAAATAAATTGATTCTAATAATAATATTCTTTAAAATCCACTCCAAATTTTATTAAGTTAAACCGAAAATGGAAATTCTTTTTGCCCAATTGATGGTGAGCCTGGCAGCCACTGAGCAGCGCTAGGTCTATAGGGTTGGTAATATTTACAGGGTACTGCCATTGAATTAATAGTTCATGAACAGCTAGCCTCCTTCATTAAAATCTATTCAAGTGTATTAGATTCTTGGTGTAGTTTTTCAGAGCTAGCTTTACTTTTTTATATTGTCATTTCTTGATTTTTCACATGCTGCCATAAGTATAGTTTAAGTGATAATTTTTTTTCATTTTGTTAGTTGTCACTTAAAGGTAATACAAAGTGTTGGTATGGGGTCATGAATTTGGTTCAAATGAACATATTGGAAGCATATGCGATCCTACAATATTCAGTGATCGTTGTCGCGGTTGAAATCGAGTCTAAAGTTATGAAATTGTAAATAATAAACTCTTTATGTTGTATAGTTCCCTCTCAAGGTCAAGATATTGATTAAGCTATAAAACAATGACTCTTGACTAAAATCGACAGATTAGCTATTCCCGTTTAGAAATTATATATCACAACTTCATATTCTGAGATTTTCATGGTCGTGGCTACCATTGTACGGCCGTAGGCGCTATTTGAAATTCATCAAACTTTACAGGGAGCACCAGTAAATTTTAATATTCAATTTTTCTCGACAGCAGGAGTCGAAGTGTTTTAGGAGCTAATTTTTTAGTCCTTACAAAACATCCACAGGGGCATCCAAATATATCAAAATTGTAAAGAATCACTATCCACTCAATATTCGAAATTTCCCAAAACTTTGTATTACCTTTAAATGGAAATATATGTAATATGTAGGTTATTGAATGATGATGAAATGCTGTTAACCAAAGGAGGTTGAGGAAGTAGTAAATTTCCAGTTTTCAAGCAACGTCATAGAATGTGACGTATGACCACTCACACTCGAGACTTGAAGAGACGACTGTTCTATTTTCTTCCTGTCCTAGCTGCATGTCAACATTACACGTTCTTGGACACTGTGTGCGTGCAGTATGGCATCGTATCATGTAGAAAGGACATTGGATGTTGCATTTGAGTAACAGTTTGATATCATCCAAGTATAATATTGGAACGTTTTTATGTACCAATTGGATTCAAGTAAGCTACATGTGTGTCATTGCAACTTGGCATTTCAGTCTACGGTGGGTAAATTCATTCGGTCATATACATTTACACTGTATTCTTTTATATTATAAGTGAAACAAATTCTGCAGAAATTGTACTGCAATTGTGAATAGATGAATTCTATGGAATTCTTTTTCTACTTCCACTTTATATAGACCGGCACCTCCTACATCAATAGTGTACATGTTTGAAGTGAAATATTGAATTAGTCCAAAGCAAATTTGTCTTCTCTTGAATAATATGTGGGTTTTTTTCTTGTCACTTCCACTGTGAAGAACATCACATCCAGCTACACCAACCTTTTTGTTAAAAAGCTTTTCAACCATATTGATATTGAGTTGTACATTTACATGTACCGGTATGTCTTTGTTAATTGAAAATCAGAATAGAAAGGAGATTGAAACGTTTTGAAGTGTTCTGTGCCAATGTTACTTCCACCTGAGTATGAATAGAGTAGAGACATGAGAGCAAGAGAGAGGAGTACATACTCTTTCTCTCATTCATTGTACATGATTTCCCAGACTCACTTGATCCTAGATCTCTGCTAATCAAGGGGCTGCAAGAGCTAGAGGGCAAGTATACCAAGCATCCACCTAGCTTCCTGCAAGTTTATTTCCTGACTCATTTTGTTATGTAAATGATGAATGACTGTGCCATACCAAAGATTCCCATGGAAGGGGAGGGGGGGGGGGGTGGATGTTCTAATACCAACTCTGTGCCATGTCCATGTCCAGACACAGAGTTATGAGCAGTGTTATCTGTTACATACTATAACAAGAAGGGGTATTCCTATCCTGAAGTCGTGCCCCTTGATCTCCTTTGTCATGTGTCCACACTCATTATATTGTAAATATCACAATACTTTGATAGTGAGTTGTTGTAAAGTGCCCTACTACCCATTCCATTTGTATTTGTTTGTGTTCTGTTAGACTGCTGTATTGCTTTTCAGTGCTCAGTTGTGTCATCATGTTTCCAGATTCATTTGTGTGTTGAATGTCAGATACATGTACACCATGATAGAGAGAGGGATGGTGTAAAGTGCTTGTCAGACTCCTATGTTCAGTCACATTATGATACGTTGAACACCATGGTGTTGGTGTGCATAAAGTGTTCCCTTGGTGTGCATCATAACATGTCCAGACTCATTACGATACGTTGAATATCATGGTGTTGGTTAAAGTGTTCCCTTGGTGTGCATAGATAAGCGTCCAGACTCATTATGATACGTTGAATATCATGGTGTTGGTGTGCATCATAAAGTGTTCCCTTGGATTAAGTGTCGAGACTCATTATGAGTTTGAATGTCACATACCATGATACTAATGAAGGTGATGAGGCCTATACGTGTGTGACCTGATACATGCGATCTCTTTACTATTTGAACAATTCAATCCATGACATGGTCATAGGCCAGCTAGACTCCCTTGCTTGTTGATCACTTTGACTCATTACAAACATCCGCTGATCAAGATGAGCATAGACTGCTGATTATCAGGGCTCTGCCTCCTAGTTGAATCTGAGCAATCTTATAGCCAGTGATCTGGTCATAGAACTTTGAGGAATATTCTTGCCACTGATCTGGTCATAGAACTTTGAGAAATCTTCTATCCTGTGATTTGATCGTACATGTATAACTTTGAGGATGTTAATGTAGGGAGACTTTATGGAGAGAATAAACAGTGACATTAGTGTGGATGTGTCTGAAGAGGACATTTTGCTGATCAAACCATACAGATACAGACAACATGGTATCGTTCATTTTCTTTGGACTGCTTTGAAACAAGTTGCATTATGGAATCTTTTTCAGAAGAGTGTTATTGCTCCTATATTCTCCAATGTAGAGTTACCTGAGTGAGGATGTGTGTAGGCAGCATTTTACATGAAAGGTCATCAGATGGAACCTTCAGAGCAGTAGCAACATGACAGCCATATTTTTAAGCTACATGTATATACATGTACATGCAGATACATGTACATGCAGAGTATACATAATGTATTTGTGTGTGAGCAGAACTTGTCCACATTGGACTGCATGATAAATATTTTGGAAAGAGACTTGAGTGGTATAAACAGTTCAAGAAACAAATTAGATACCACCGAGGCTCTTTTGAAATAGCATGGTCAAGTTGAGATATCTTGGTCAAGCTGAGATATCTTGGTCAAGTTGAGATATCTTGGTCAAGTTGAGATATTTTGGTCAAGTTGAGATATCTTGGTCAAATTGATATCCTAAACTCATTTTGATTTGTTATTTTTCATGAACAGGAGAAAGAGAACAACTTACTGCAGCTCTTAGACAAGTCAAGCAAGGGTGAGACCCAGCCTGGCCATCATCAGGTCAAGGTCCCATCACCAAGCTCCTATAGGAAGAAGTTCTTCAAGTCGGTCACTTCACCAGGAACACAACCTAAACCAAGACCAACAGCTAAAGGTTAGCACTCAAACACTCAAGCAGTAGTGTACACTGCCTGTTATGGACTAAATCTTATCACAGCTTGCAAAGGAAAACAAGTAGATATACAGTCAAACCTGTCTATAGCGACTGTCCAAGGGAAACACAAAAAGTGGCCTTTGTAGACAGGTTCCTTTAGAACATGACTTAACGAGAAACCTTTTTCAAGGGAAACAACAAATGTGGCCTTTGTAGACAGGTGACCTGTCACTAAAGCAGGTTTGACGTAATTTTAATGGCTTCTTGGTAATCATTGTTCCAACCTATTGGGAATTGTATAATTGGATGGTACACCTGCTAAAGCTGGTAGTGGAATTATTCAGATAAAAAGGCATGTTTTGTCTTTCAACTTGCATTATAATCAATTCTAGCAAGTTGGTTTTATTTAAAGGGGAAGTCCATCCTGATATTAAGTTGGTTTTCATAGAAGCAGAAAATTGAGAGAAACAGGTCAGTGATAGTTTGAGCAAAATCTGATTAAAAATAAGAGAGTTATGAATATTTGAAGATTTGATCAATTAAACACAAATTGGCAATATCTTGCAAGGTCCCCTCCAAAACGCCCTGGACTAAAAAACTTCCGAAATGTATATTTTCTCTTAACAGCAATTTCAATCATACATTCACTGTTAATTTAATTATTGCAAATATGTCTTTATACAACCCACGTATGAAACAAGTCTGTTCCGTCATCAATAATTAAGAAAATGAAAGTTTATCAAATTTTCTGTACAGAGCAAACTGGAGAGGAGATCACAAGATATGTCACAGCGTTACCAATTTGTGCTTCACTGATGACAATTTAAAAAAATTTAATCAGATATCCTCAAACTTTCACTATATTGTTTCACTAATTTTTCTGCTTTTATTAAACACAAACTAATATTAAGGTGAACTTTCCCCATAATCTTATTCAACAAATTTGGGGTTTTCTAGAGAACTTATAATTCATGTGTTAATAAATACATTTACGCTGTATAATGACTGAAAACGAAGGAGTAATACATGAATACTCATTTCTGGAGAAAACAAATGTTGTTATCATCAAAAGCAGTAAATATCTCCAAATAACATCATTAGCTTAGTTGTTTTAATCTTGTGGCTGTATGGAATTCTTCAGTCGAGTTCTCATTGCTTGATTTCTTGTTGCTTGTGTACAGAGGAGATGCTTGCCAAGGCCAAAGCAAGCCAGAGCTTTGCTGATCGTATGAAGAGACACATCCGTGGTCGAGGGCGGACTGGGGGCTTTGCTTACCCTTTGGATGATCAGATGATCGGCAATGCTACGTTTGGAGTTCCTCTGGATGAATGTGCCGCATCACAGTCCAATGAGGTAATGATGTTACATATAAATCTGCATGTAATTTGATAGGAAGAGGCATTGGGGCAGGGGGGTTGGCTACATATAGATAAAGGCAAGTTGCATGTCTTAATATAATGAAAGGTTACGGTAACAGAAAAGGAAATTGAAATGAAACAGTTGAATATAATGACTTGCTTTGCTTGTATCAGAAAAAAATTGATATAATAAAATATTTAAACAAAATCACAGCAGCTTTGAAAAGTTTGATGAAAGGAGGGGGGGGGGGGCTAAAATTGATTGTTTGTAGGTTTATGATGTGTGCATATCTTATTGTGCCAATTGCCATTCAAAACATTCAATGCATAGAAACCTTTCAGAAACATGTTAAAACGGTTTTATTTACTCAGAGTTACCAATGATATTATGTTAAAATTCTGGAGAGAGATTTGTGTATTTTGTTTTGTATAGCGCCTTGAGTAAGTAATTAGATAAGTGTGCTTTATAAGTATTTATTATTATTATTATTATTATTATTATTACTATAATTATTATTATTATTATTATAATTATTATAATTGTTGTCTCTTCTCAGCTTGTACCGATGGTTGTTGAGATCTGCTGCTCCATCATAGAAGCTAAAGGGATGGACTATGTAGGGATCTACAGAGTACCTGGGAACAGCGGAGGTATCTCATATCTCAAAGAAGAACTCAAGAAAGGAGTAGATGAGATTGATCTGACTGATGAGGTAAGATCTGAGAAGCTTAATAGTTTATTAGCAATATAACATCGTGTGAAGTTGAAGTTCATGGGTCACATTACATGTAAAGAAGGCCTAGAGAATCTTGCTTTGACAGGGAAAATTGTGGGAAGAAAGAGTAGGGGAAGAAGGAGGATACTTTGGTTGGACAGTCTGCAGAAATTGTTGGAAGAGAGAGGAGTGAAAGAACTGGGAGTGGTACTAATACAGAAGGCTAGGAGCCGAAGGTTGTGGAACAGCATGATCGCCAACGTCAAACGATATAGCCCCACTGCACTACTTTTAGCTACTTGCACCCTCTATATAGCAAACAATGTCTAAGCGGTACCCGATGATCCCTCATGATGCCCTCTTTCTTATGTTAAATGAGAGCTGATTTGATGAGATAACCACCTGTCAGTGACACGCAGGGAGGTCTAATCCCTCCTGGCTAAACCAGTGCAGATAGGCTTTCAGTATTTTTGCTGTGCTCACAGTAATTTAGGTCAATTGCAAAGTCTGTATAAATCATTTTTTCTAAAAATTCTTTAGATTTCATAGAACCATTGAGGGGTTGAAAAGTTTTACCTACTGACAGTGATTCTATAAGAAGTTCATTCCTTGTCTATGGCATGTGTACTCATCAGTGTTTTTAATTGTTGATTTATAACACTTCCTGTTTAATAGAAGCATATGGGTTATAAGGAAGCTCTCTTGGAAGGGCTTCAAGAGAAGAGATTCTTTTAAATATAAAGAACTTTATTATAAAAATGTCATTCTTGTGTGGGTAATTGAGATTTTGCGTATGGTAATTTGTTACTAATGTTTTACCTTTTCTCCAAATCGCAGCGCTGGCAGGATGTGAATGTGATCAGTAGTTTAATGAAGCTATTCTTCCGTAAGCTACCCAATCCAATGGTACCCAACAACCAGTACAAGGATTTCATTGCAGCTAATCGTATGGAAGAACCTTCAGAGAGGATGTGGGCTCTACGTAGACAGATCCATAACCTACCAGATCATCATTATGAGTCCTTCAAATACCTTGCCAACCATCTCAAAGGTTAGTCTTCTTTGGTCCGTAGATGGTGTATTATTGGATGAGCTCCTGCTCTAGTCATGATTTTGTCTGAGATATATCATTTGATGTAGGGTTATTGGTGTGATTGGACTTCAGTGTAGGCATAGGAATAGTGTTGGGTAAACAAGTAGTAGAGTTTAGTTCATGGTTGAAATAAGAAATTTGAGCAGTTTGAGAAGTTGTCTTCTTAGAATTGTTGCCAGAGCATGTGTTGCACAATCTTCATCACTATATTTAATTCATTCAAGGTTTCTTCACTTTATACTCTCTGATGTAATATTAATTTGCCAATTTCGCTTAATTCAGGAACATCACCTTGTTTAACCAATATTGAAACATAGCTTTAATATCTTATCTTTCATCATATTTTTTCGGTATAAACATCTAAATGTCATCCCACCTACGTATCACTGTTGCAATAAACCTGTAAATTGTTAATTATCAATTTTCTATCTCATGTAAAACGAATGACAATTTTATATCATCAATGAAACTGTAAATCGTATTTAAATATACACAATATTTGTTAAGTGTTCTATATATTTTAATGTGTTATTAATGCAACGTTATGCCATGTACTTTTTACTCTGTAAATTGAACAATTTCAGCTTTTAGCTACATGTCCAATGATTTTTATCTCAATAAACCAATACAATACAATACAATACAATCATATTGGCCCAAATTCACAAAGGAGGTTTGTTGACAAACCTAGGTTTATGTGCGTCATATGACGCGTTTTGACGTGTTTCAAACCAAGGTTTGTACAACCCTTGGTTTGAAACACGTTTCGACGCAAACCTTGGTTTGAAACGCGTTTCGACGCAAACCTTGGTTTGAAATGCGTTAAAACGCGTCACATGAGGCACATAAACCTAGGTTTGTTGACAAACCTCCTTTGTGAATTCGGGCCATTATGTCCAAGGTTTTAAATGAGTGTATCATACATGTTGAGTTTATCGTTATAACCCTAGAACTGAATTGCCAGCTGATATGTATTTATCCCAACTGTATGGAAATGAACAAGATTTATGATTATATAAAGTTGAAGTGTAACAAATTTGTTCTTCTTCTGTTTGATAGGAGTTGCAGCCAACGCAGATGTGAATCGCATGGAAGTCCGTAACCTTGCCATTGTCTTCGGTCCTACCCTGGTGCGCTCTGGAGACGATAGCATGGTTACCATGGTAACAGACATGTCTGACCAGTGTAAGATAGTAGAGAGCTTGATCCTTCACTGTGATTGGTTCTTCAGTGATGATGTAGAGAGTCAGCAGGATGTCCCTAGTGATGCGGTGAGGTTGAACAGCTGGGAGAAGAAGAAGAGTCCGTCTAGGAGGAAAGGAGAAGATGAACAAGATGGAGGTGAAGAGGAGGAAGAGAATGAGATGGATAAGACTGGTCCACTTAAAACATCTTCAATGGGTAAGACTCCACTCAACTCTCAACATAATTCTTTCCTCCAGTACAGTACATCCAAGTTTACAGACATGTACCACAAGTATGATTTCACAATATGTTTTTAAATTTTAAATTTTTGATTATGGATCATCTTTTTGTGTACATTTGGTGATATGTCGCTTCACAGTCAAGTCATTTTCAATTTCAATTAGGAAAACATTTTTTCCTGCTTTTAAATTAGTAGTGTCAATTCCAAATTTTAGTGATTAAGATTATTGATTGCACTGGAAGGGTTAAGCAAATAGTGTTACCTCAAAATAAAAATGTGGATGGGGAAGGCAGTTGCAAATTGTTTTACACCTTACTACCTACATTGTGTCATGTCTTTAGCTGACACTCATTCTGTTGGGGGTGTACATACTTTGTATTCTCATTTGTGATGGGTAGATGGAGGATTTCAACCCTGTATGTCATTATTAATATCCTGAGACATTTCTCTTTGCAGAAGATATCCGCCGTGATGCTGGTGGTCTGTTCTCTTCTAAAGATCTGATTCTCTCCGTGAACTCTGCTGCTCAAAGGAAGCTAAAGACACCCAACAAACCTTTCTCTCCTGAGAAGGTGGACACGAGTGAAGTCAAGTATAGAAGACCTAGTCCAGAGCCACCTCAGCTACATACTATCAAACTACATGATCAAGAGTCATTGCGTCTTACAGTTGGACAGCAACCAATCACGATAGATGTGGGTGATGAGAGGTCGTTACACGCGGCTGGACTTAGAAAGGATGATAGCACCGGTAAGGTGGTACTGCGTCAGAACTCTCAGGGTTCCGTTGATTCCAAATCAAGCTGCGGGAGCGATGAGAGCCCCAAGGAAATGGAGGCTATGTTTCAAGGCTCTCTCTTTGGTTCTAGCAATCGATCTTATCAACGATCTTACTATCAGAATTTCCAGTTTGGTTCAACACGGGGTAGAAAACTATCTGACTCCTCAGAGAGTAATCCTCCATTGAATCTAGAGCAGGAGCTGAAATCTCTTACCAATGCAACATCAAAGAGAGACAGCTGGGTGCAGTCAGACTATTCCAAAGAGCGTGAGCGAATAGAGCGCCAGCATGCTGAGGCGCTACGTGACTTAGAGAAAGAAGACAATACAAACATAGAAGAGTTATTCAAGTCACAAGATTACCTAAGTGAGCTAGCAGCTGTATCTAATAAGATCATGGACTATACAAGTAAAGGTATGAAGAGCCCTTCTGCTAGTCGGAAACACTCTCTTGAAAAGCCTTCAGGTAGGGATCAATCAAAATCCTCCAATAATAACAATGCATTCAAGGCTAACACTGTAGCTAAAGAAGAATCAACCAAGAAGCAATCATCTACTGACTCATTTGCTTCCTTGCACATTGATGAAAGTGACTTTGTTCAGTCTATGAAAGCCACATTTGAAGAGCGGTTACAGCGAGTGTTACAGCATGAGAGTGAAGATGACACCTCCCGTCCTACTAGTCTTGTGAGTGACACCCATCATCATCATCAAGCTGATGAACCCAGGGGGATTCATTATAGGAGTAACTCTGTAGACAGGTCTGATGTCCTGCGACGGAGACTAGAATCTCCTGCTTCCTCAGGATCAGGCTCTAGCACCAGCTCTCCCGTAAGATCGAAGGACATCGTCAAATCATCTGCTAAGTCCAAGATGGCCAAGTCTACATCTCATTCTCCTAAGAAGTGCAGTCGTATTGAAGTCATCCTCACGATGGAGAAGAGAGAAACTACTCCAACGTCCCTCCGTGATAACATCGCCAACAATGCCCAGGAGATCTCCAAGACCCGTAGAGGATCTGCCAAAGACACTACGTCCGTCAAGGAGAAGAACAGGGAGAAGAGGCGTAGGAGACATACTGTAGGGGGTGGTAAGGACCTTCAGAAAGCTATCAGTGAGCACCTTGCTAGTGAAGAATCTAAGAAAGTCAGTGCTGTGGAAAGACTCAAGCCATTTGGTAAAGAGAACTTGAAATCCACCTCTAAACCTCAAGACATCAAATCCTGGTTAGAGTCTGAGCGTCACCGGAGCACTACAAGCAGCCCCAACCTCCTAAGCTCAGTCCAAGCATCTATTGCAAGGTTACATCCAACGGAAACGGACAAACAGAGGAAAGAGAAAGAACTTCGTAGAAAAAGCACACCTATTTTAGGTGCAACAGATTTCAACAACGAGCCTCACAAGCTTTCTAGAATGCCAAGATATTTTGAAATTGAATCGTACTTATAGAACAATGGGGGAGTCTTAATGGTAGAGTCAGCTACTGAAATTTTGTGACAGCAACATAGTGACATAAGTTATGACAGTGTGTATATAGCAGAGAGAGAGAGAGACGTTGTATATATATATATATATATATATATATATATATATATATCCAAATGAATTCCTAAGGCAAAATGAATCTTGCTCTTTAACCAATAGGAATTCACCATTAATATCTATTTATATGTGACTGTGTGGTGTCCTTGTGTGTCCCTGTATCTGTGTTATTATATATGACATTGCTACCAAAGTAGCAGGTAATGCTATACGGGTCTAAGTTATAACTAAAACTATATTATATAACATGAAAAACAGTAATCCTTTGGCCCATTTAATTGTAAGTTCATTTTTATATCTTTGTAGACTTTCTGAAGGTAATCAGATTGTGTGATAACATATGCGAGATATTTCCTAATTCATATTCTTCACAAAGTTAGATCACAGCCCTGTTTCATTAACTCATCATTGCTAACAAATTGCAGTATTTGATGAAAACTACTAAAAGTATGACTCTTGATTGACTTTGATAAAATATGTTTCTGGATTGTGACATTTAATACTTTTTGCAACATACTTGATGTATGCCCACCACACCTGTACTTGCTACTGTAGTGCATTCAGAATAACAGTATTAATGTAAGCCTGGCTGAAGGGCGCAAAAATCATTGTTTTGGTCACTGTTTTAATTGTATTTGCTGAAAAGATAATACATCAGTTAACCATGACAACGATGTATAAAATGAAATGTCAATTGTTTTTATTTCTTTTTTGGAAAATATTTTGAAAAGGAAAGTGCAATGATGGGAAGAGAGAAAAGAAGGTCTACAAACAAGATGTAACACACCTTTATAATGACTTGTTTGGTGGGAAATTGTTTTGAAGGCCAAAGGCCATATACTAGTCTTCTTAACATCTTTAAAACAAAAAAACAGTAAAGACAATTTACCTTGAAACATCTGTTCATAACTAGTTATTTCACATTCCGCAGAAGACTGAAGTGATGCTATTGATTTCTTCATAGTATAGATATTGATACCCTTGCCTTCAAAGATTGGAATATAAATAATAAAGAAAGGCGCATTTTATTTTTAAGAAAGCTAACAGCGAGGGGGGGGGGGGTGGGGGAAGGAGACTAATTTGTAAAGTCTTTTTTTAATTTTTATAAAAGATACATTGGTTTGTTTTAAGAAAGTACAGTGCTACATAAAATAGCTCCAGAAGCTTGCCACTAGACTTCTAGAATTGAAAGGTTTATGATTATTTTGTAATCTCAACAAATGATTTCCAAGATAATGTAATATTATTTTTGAATAATTTGTGATGTGGATATATTTGGAGGTAGTATGCCTGCCTGAGTGGAGGTCCATAATCACCCCCAAACAAATGTGCATGGAATGATGAGGATTGGGTAAATGACTAGCCAGCATAAATATAGAAAATTTAATTCCACCTTTTAAAAATAATTTTCACCTTTGTTCTGTTGAGCACAGTATTATCGAATATGGATTCTGACAAAAATGTATTAATGTTTGTTGGCCAAGGATGGATTGCACGCAAAGCATCCTTTCTTTATTTGGTCACCCAATGACTGTGTAAAAATTCAAACATCTTTGATAATATTTTGGTATGGGAAAATTAGGTATGAAATTGCTCTTAAGGTTCATGATTTTCATGACCATTGCCAAATAATTTAAGTCGTTCAAAAAATTGAGTCCTGCTTTGTTAAATCAGTAGTTTGGTTATAGCCTCTTTTCTTTCAGCTGTTCCTTCAATAGTTGTGAGATGACCTTTTGAATGTAGATGACTAATTGTTTGCCGAGTGGAAGAAAGCCATTAACCGATTAAGAAATTAAACCCCCAGATCTCAACACACATTATGTGTAAAATTGTTCATTTGACGTTGTTTTAAAACCTATGGTATAAAAGTGAAATCAGAATAATTACCAGTTACAAGCTGATGAGTAGGTAGAAAATATTAAAGTCAAGTAATTATTATGTTGAGCATTTTGGGAATAAGTTTTACCCAGAATGAAGCAATCTTTCTTTGGTTACATGGTCATAATGCGCAATATGACCATTTTGACATTCAATGATTTGTGAAATATTATTATTAGTATCATGTAGAAATTTATTATAGAGAGATTAATCATGTCTTAAATGAAGCTTGTGCAAATCAGAGACACAGACATTCATGTTTTCTTTTAAAGATTATCCATGTTTGCACAATGGATTCACCAGTTTTTGTCTTGAAACCAGGAAATGAAAATTATGCACATTTTATTATTTATGATTGTTTTTTAATCAAGAATAAATGTCGGATTTTTAGTGCATATGTATTGTATACAGCCAGGCACTGACAGATTCATTCTAGATCACCATCGCCAGTCATACCTGCTTCAGAGAAGTGAATCCAAACACTAAATTTGTACCTGTCTATAAAGACCAATTACAACCTTTGTACCTACACCAGATATATCACCTAATGTTGACATGCTCTACGGTACACAGAATGAAAAGCAAGGAATGAAAGACATGAAGAAAGATTGAGATTGGATGTTTTATTTGGTTGTTTATTTTCTTGTTTTAATGTACATTTTTAAACATATATCATCCTTGTTACATTTGTGAAATTATATGAAATGATTATAATCAAGATGGAAAATGAGAGATTAAATCCTAGTACAGATTGGTAGTTAGTTTTCTTTATCTTTTAAGCAATGTTATTGCAGAAAATTTGCTCCTGTAAGTTTTGTATTGTGTTTGTATAAAAAAAAAGATAGTTTCATTGGTATAATATTAAAGTGAATATTTCCTTATACAACTTCATCAATGTGATTAATATTTGTGTTTAAATTCTCATTATGAATAAAACGGTTTTGATAGTTATTAGGATTGGTGTCTGTGCTTTTGGTAAAGCAGGCTGAGAATGGTGATATTAATAGTGATAATTTTAATATGATGATGATATTGATTTAATGACGCCCAGGGGCGGCGATCCCGGGGGGACGGGGGGAACACGTCCCCCCCCCCCCCCTCGATTTTTGTAGGGGGGGATTAGTGACCTGCATGCAAGTGTCACAAATAAGGTATCAAAATATGCTCATCTGACCCTTACTCATTGCCTAAAAACTCTGAGCTCCGACCCTTGACACCCATCGGGGCTTTGCCCCTGGAACCCACGCCAAAGTTACACCCAACTTAATTGCTTTGCTCTATCTGATCGCAAATACTTTATCCCCCTCCCCCCTCCAACTTTGAAAAACGGTTCCGCGGGGCCTGTATGTAACATGCAAGAGCGATGATGATGCAGATTTTTTTCTCCCCTCCCCCCAAAAAAAAACGTTTTGGCTCATTACGCCACTCCTCCCTCGTTCCTCGCATTTCGTCCCCCCCCCCCCGGTCATGAAAAGAAATCGCCGCCCCTGATGACGCCTGTGATTATGATGATGGTGGTGGTGGCAGCAGTGATAGTGATTATGGTGGTGGTGGTGGCAGCAGTGATAGTGACGATGATGGTGGTGGTGGTGGTAGCAGTGATGGTGGTGATGGTGGTGGTGGCAGCAGTGATAATAGTGATGGTGGGGATGGCAGCAGTGATTATGATGATGGTGGTGGTGGCAGCAGTGATAGTGATGGTGGTGGTGTTGCCTTTGAATTTCCTTAGAGATTTTTCATTATCCTCTGGACTTACAATTTTTTCGAGAAAAAAGAGACTTATAACACGTGTTTTTTTTTTTTTTAATGGGTTTTCGACTTTTTTCCCCATATTTTCAGCATCACGACTCCCTGACTCTAAGTCTCTCGTTTTATAATTTTCATCGTTACGACTCGTTTCCATACTTTCTTCATCACAACTCTTAGACTCTTGTTTTATACTTTCACCAAAATGGCTCTTTGACTCCCTTTTCATGCTTTCCTTCCATACGTTTCACCATTACGACTCTCATACTTTCATCATAAATTACTCTCTCATGACTCTCTGACTTTCTTTCTCCATCAACAGTCATTTCTCACTATTAACTTTACGACGTTTACAATAGAAATTTTGACCAAATAGTTGTTTGTTTGATACCGTTTAATATCAAAATTACGAGAAACGTAAAGTATTTATTTTATGACATAATCATGAATATATAACATAAATTTACAAAGCATAATATCAAATATATAACAATACAAAAGTTAATCATGTCAAATAACGGTATTTACGAAATGAGATCATTGACAAGTCAGAGAAACCCTGTTAAGAACATCAAACGGAGGTCATTATAAGATTACGTTTATCGTACACGAAACGATGCGTTTTCGTTTCGTTTCGTGATACAATTGATCCTGATGTATTCCTTGGAATTTGTTTTTTGCTTGGACAACATTGACTTCATCATATTTACCATATGAAGAATACTCGATGAATTGATTCGTTCAACATTTCTACAATTTAACGTTATAATAATAATAATATTTAATGTTTATATAGCGCTTAATACAAATGTCTCTAAGCGCTTTATACAAATAAACAAAAATACTATTATCCATCTGACTTTACACGTACCAGGAGCCTCTTTCTGTTGTTTGGTGGACCAAACCTGATAACTGTATTGTTTTGGTCCGGCACTGACAAACCTGGTGATATAATTTCCAGAACCGAAATCCTTTTCAAGTTCATCAGTCATATCACCAAGATAGTTTCCCATCGGTGCACTAGGAACATTTCCATCGTCAAAATAGATAATAAGAATATATTTTTAAACGTGCATAACAATCAGTTGTAAATGCAGCAATGACAACATTCGTATTTGAAAGAATGTCAATGAAGGACTCTTCAGAGTCGTATTGGATACCGATCATCTGATCCGATACAAAATGGATATATTTGATGATTATCGTCTGATCAGTCATCTTTTCGAAGAAGACGGATGGGTCAGTGATTCTGTCTGCGGCAAGTTACTTATCTAACCGAACTTACCGTAGATCGAATTAAACATCTTTGAAACGGCTCTCAATCCCTTATTGACTTTGATATTATCGGGATTGAGTTGTACACCTTCGTGTTCAAAGTATGACTCCACATACGTCCTACGTGCCTCCTTTATTTCCGAGGATTCCTCCGACTGATCAGACTTTTGTTATGTTTAGAAACAGGTTCATTGCAACTAACATGCAATTGAAATTAACATGCCAACCACTTGACTTTTGTTTTAGTTTGAGAAATGTGTTTACATATTCTGTTAACAGACCTCCCTTGTTTTTCTCAACGGTGTATTTTGAGTTTTTTTTTAAATTCCTAACTTCAAAAATCTTTTTCTTTTTTTTTCTTTGTGTGTTTTATTAAAACAAACCATGAGAATCACATATTTACAAGATTTGATAAAGTGAATAAAAATTAAAAATAAACAAATAAACAAATAAATATAAAAATTAAAAAGCAGACAAATGGTATATACAGAAATGCAAGTACAAGGCAGCAATATACATAAAAGTAACACTTTCTTTGCATGAGTACAGTAGTCGAGAGGTTGCAAAAATAAACAAATACAAAAGAGAGGGAGGGATATTAACAAAGCGGGAAGAAAAGAATACTAAACATCAAAACGCCATTTCTTAAAGTGAATAGGTAATTTGTTTCTTTTCTTGGCTAAATGATATTCAATTTCCTTCTGTTTTTTTCACAAAGGATTTAAAGGACACACAATTAGGAAGATTGTCATTAAATTTACAACAGTATATATGATATTTCAACAGTAAAAATAAAAATGAGATGAATTTATCACCACAAACTCCAAATACTTTTTCAAAATTAGAAATATTGAAATTGGAATCACATTTTTGGCGAATCATTGTGGTCACATAGAGCACGATTAGGTGATTTCTTCCTTTTTATCTTATAAAGAAAATCATTCAAAGCAATTGCTCTGTGGAAAATTTTAAAATAAAAAGATCTAATTTTATTATCAATAGAGCAGAAAAAATTGTATTAAGGACCTTTTCCCAGTTAGTGTTAGGAGGTACTGGTAAACTGTTATTCCAATAGGCATCTCTTATCAGGGCTATAAGGACCAAGTAATAAGCTATACACATTCTTAGGAACTTTTGTAAAACTCAATAATTTAAAAACTGTATCATGAACACCAAAAATGTCAACATCAAAAGTAGTTATAGCAGTGAGTATGGGGACGGCCATAGGTTTTGTACACAAATATTTTCGTACTATTTCTAATTGACTCGTGTACATTAACTTTGACATAGTCTATTTTCGAGAAAAAAACGGACTTAATATAACACGCGTGTCTATGGGGTTTTGTTGAGGTCTTGACTTTTCGAATTTAATTAGGGATTTGTCATTTTGGACTTGTAAATTTTTTCGAAAAAAAACTGAATTATAACACGTGTGTCTATGGTAGTAAGACTTTATGAATATGACTTAGAGACTTTTCATTATCATCTAGACTTACAATTTTTTCGAGGAAAAAGTGACTTTTAACACTTGTGGTTATAAGTCACTTGTGACTCCCACGTCAAAAAATCAGAATGTTCATACTTTCATTAATCTCGACTTTATGTCCACACTTTCATCAATCTCGACTCTCATACTTTCACCAATCTCGACTCTCATACTTTCACCAATCTCGACTCCCATACTTTCACCAATCTCGACTCTCGACTTTATTTCATACTTTCATTTTTATCCATCCACTCCATACTTCCATCAATCTCGACTCTATTTCATACTTTCACCAATCTCCACTCTCGACTCTATTTCATACTTTCACCAATCTCGACTATTCGACTCTCTCACGAGTATATGACTTTCTTTCTCCATCAATAGTTCTTGTCTCACTATTACCTTTACGACTTTTACAAAAGAAGCTTTGACTCCATAGTTGTCCGTTTTTGATAACGTTTATTTATAATAATAGTATACACTGCAAGGTATATGAGAAACGAGTCACTGCAAGGTATTCACTGCAAGGTATTTACTGCAAGGTACATGAGAATCTTAAGTTATTTACTGCAAGGTATTCACTGCAAGGTACATGAGAATCTTAAGTTATTTACTGCAAGGTATTCACTGCAAGGTACATGAGAATCTTAAGTTATTTACTGCAAGGTATTCACTGCAAGGTACATGAGAATCTTAAGTTATTTACTGCAAGGTATTCACTGCAAGGTACATGAGAATCTTAAGTTATTTACTGCAAGGTATTTACTGCAAGGTATATGAGGATCGCAAGGTATATATACAAGATAAATTTACAAAATATAAAATCAAATATGTAATACAACAGTATAAAAGTTAATGAGATGAAATAACAGTATTCATGAAATGAGATCACGAAAAAGACTATTAAAACATGAAAGATAGTTCATTATTAAAAGCCATAAGGAATGGTATCTAGATCATCCGAGAGAATCCGTTTACCGTACACGAAACGATGTGTTTTCGATTCGTTTCGTGATACAATTGGTCCTAATTTATCCCTTGCAATTTTTCTTTGTTATGTACAACATCGATTTCATCATGATTGTGGACCATGCGAAGAATACTTGAAAAATTGATTTGGTCCACATTGCTAGAATTTAGTGTTATACCTCTAACTTTACATGTACCGGGAACCTCTTTTTGCTGTTTACTGGACCATACCTTATAACTATATTGTTTAGGTCCAGCACTGACAAACCTGGTGATATAACTTCCAGAACCGAAATCCGAGTTTTCAAGTTCATCAGTCATATCACCAAGATAGTTTCCCGTCTGTACACAGGGAACGGTTCCATCATCCAGATATATGATGGAATCTGTGTCATAATATAACACATTACGTTGT